CACATAGTGAACTAAAATACTGCACGCATATTGGTATGACTGTCTTATCACATAGTGAACTATAATACTGCACACATATTGGTATGACTGTCTTATCACATAGTGAACTAAAATACTGCACACATATTGGTATGACTGTCTTATCACATAGTGAACTAAAATACTGCACACATATTGGTATGACTGTCTTATCACATAGTGAACTAAAATACTGCACGCATATTGGTATGACTGTCTTAACACATAGAGAACTAAACTACTGCACGCATATTGGTATGACTGTCTTATCACATAGTGAACTAAACTACTGCACACATATTGGTATGACTGTCTTATCACATAGTGAACTAAACTACTGCACACATATTGGTATGACTGTCTTATCACATAGAGAACTAACATACTGCATGCATATTGGTATGACTGTCTTATCACATAGTGAACTAAAATACTGCACGCATATTGGTATGACTGTCTTATCACATAGAGAACTAAACTACTGCACACATATTGGTATGACTGTCTTATCACATAGTGAACTAAAATACTGCACACATATTGGTATGACTGTCTTATCACATAGTGAACTAAACTACTGCACACATATTGGTATGACTGTCTTATCACATAGAGAACTAAAATACTGCATGCATATTGGTATGACTGTCTTATCACATAGTGAACTAAAATACTGCACACATATTGGTATGACTGGCTTATCACATAGAGAACTAAACTACTGCACACATATTGGTATGACTGTCTTATCACATAGTGAACTAAATACTGCACACATATTGGTATGACTGTCTTATCACATAGTGAACTAAAATACTGCACACATATTGGTATGACTGTCTTATCACATAGAGAACTAAACTACTGCACACATATTGGTATGACTGTCTTAACACATAGTGAACTAAACTACTGCACACATATTGGTATGACTGTCTTATCACATAGAGAACTAAACTACTGCACACATATTGGTATGACTGTCTTATCACATAGTGAACTAAAATACTGCACACATATTGGTATGACTGTCTTATTACATAGTGAACTAAAATACTGCACACATATTGCGGTATGACTGTCTTATCACATAGAGAACTAAACTACTGCACACATATTGGTATGACTGTCTTATCACATAGAGAACTAAACTACTGCACACATATTGGTATGACAGTCTTATTACATAGTGAACTAAACTACTGCACACATATTGGTATGACTGTCTTATCACATAGTGAACTAAACTACTGCACACATATTGCGGTATGACTGTCTTATCACATAGAGAACTAAAACACTACACACATATTGGTATGACTGTCTTATCACATAGATAACTAAGACATAAGGGTAATTTGCCAGTGGTATGGTGGTTTAATTACATAGTGAACTAAAACATAAGGCAAATATAAAGTATTGGTATGACTGTTATAGTACTTAGTGAACTAAGACATAAAGGAAATCTAAACATTGGTGTGACTAGTTTATCTCATAGTGAACTAAGATAAAGGAGTACAGTATGAAAGAACCAATGCATGTATTTGGGTTTTGTCAAGGATTGCTTCTTGGGCCTTGATTATCTTCCCCCAGGGAAACATTAACACTTCATTGGTGGTAGGAAGAATTATGAAACCATGATCAAAAATTACTTTTATCGGATTAAATGCCAGGATATCTTAAGAACTTCAAACATTTACTTTCAGTGAATATCATTTTTAAAATCCCTGTCTTAAAATTTTTCTCAAAAAGTTTATATTTTGCATGATGACATGATTACAAATTACACTAAATATTAAAATGTTCATAATTGTTTATTAATACTTAAAATTGTAAATCTTATTTGTATCTGTAGTAGCTGTAACAGTACAATTTGAAATACGATCTTAATTTTTTTTTTGCATTATACTGTTGACTTGTTTAGGTATTTAAGATTTAGAAGTAGTTACAATTGATTGTTGCAGGAAAATATTGTGCATTTGATACTTCAAAGTATATAAGCTGTATTTATGAAGCAATGATTACTCAATAACACACAGTAATTTCTCAATAACACACACAGTAATTTCTCAATAACACACAAATTCAAATGTGCAAGATGTTTATCTTCAAAGTGGTATGTAAGGGGTCAGATTTAAGAAGCTTGGAAACTGAGATTTCAAAACTTATCCAGATGACCTTGCATACAATAGCGATAGGTCACAGCCATGGTCGTGTGTAAATAGTGAAGGCTTGCACAGCGTCTCCAGCTAAACACACTCTTATGTAACCGGGAGTGGGAGAAAGTGGTTGGTTGGAGTGTCGCAATGGCAGACTGCACTTGTGTTACCTTCAGTTGATATGTCAGCTCCTGGGGCATGTGTGTCCAAGTCGTCTGAGTTTCCACAATTTGCCGGACAGAGTTTTGTCCCTTGGGCATGTCAGAACACTGTGTGAGAAAGTGGGTGATTGGAATGTAGAAACAGCAGACTGCAATAGTTATGTACTAGAGGGGTCAGTAATTTTGTACATAGTAATATTTGAAAAACATGCTTAGAAATTATGGGAAGGGGAGGAGGTAATTAATTTTGTACATTACATGCAGGGGGGTCACTTACTTTGTTCACAATTATTTATATATATTGTGTGTCATTCACATTGTACATTTTTCTCCATAAAAATCATAATCACCCCCCAAGCTATAGATTATGAACCGTCCCTATGGTACCATAATTTCCTGTGCAGAGTTTTGTCCCTTGGGTATGCCAGAAACCTATGACCGTGGGTTCAAATCCCAGTTGGCCCACACTATGTTTCTGGGTTGGTCAGCACCAAATACATGCTCATGGTTACATGGAAGTGGTAAACGTCTGAGATCTTTACTTTAAGGGTTTTCTTCAACTTGAAACTGTCATGCATGATGTAACTGGAATACTGTTCAAAGCAGCATAAAACCAAACTGACTGACTCACTCTCTCTCCATGTGACTTGTCATGCTAGCTGTCTCAGTGACCGTGGTAGTGGGGGCCATGGGATGGTCTAGTGGTTAAAGCATTTGCTCATCACGTCGAAGATCTGGGTTCAATTCCCCACATGGGTACAATGTGCGAAGACAAATTCTGGTGTCCCATTCTGTGATATTGCTGGAATATTGCTAAAACAGCTTAAACCACACTCACTCTCTCACGATGATGCTAGTTTCAAAAGTGACTTGTGTCGTTCTGGTTCTCTTGTTGTCTTGGACCCGTGAAGATCCGGGGGTAGAATAGGTCTTCAGCAACCCATGTGCTTGCCATAAAAAGGCGACTATCTTGTCGTAAGAGGCGACTAACGGGATCGGGTGGTCAATTTCGCTGACTTGGTTGACACATGTCATCGGTTCCCAATTGCGCTGATCGATGCTCATGCTGTTGATCACTGGATTGTCTGGTCCAGACTCGATTATTTACAGACCGCCGCCATATAGCTGGAATATTGCTGAGTGCGGCGTAAAACTAAACTCACTCACTCACTCACTTGTTGTCTTGTCCTACATGCCTACATGTAAGTATGTTTGAATCGGAAAGCATGTATAAATGTAGCAGAAATAAAAATAAATCAAAAAACTTAAAATTAAATCAGGCATCCATCTATTTTGTATACATGTTTTGTAAATTTAAGAACATAATGACTGTTAGTGATGAGTTTCAAGCAGTTCTCAGGCTATTGAGAACGGTTTAGTGCTTTCTCCAGGAACGCATTGTCTTATCCAGGAATGATCTGGTGCTGGTCTCTTGAATATATCACCAGCAGCATCTGAACAGTGCAGTCCCCAGTTCCCCATGTTTGAAGTAAACAGTATCTAACAAGGAGATCAGTGGGTCTTAATGTTTGTCTGCTGGCTGCTTTATTACATGTTACTGGTGCATCAATCATGGTGGCTGTTGTACAGGTGACTCTCACCATCCTTGTGGGACTTTAGACCAGTTGGTTCCCTGTGTACCAGCATGCCACAATCAGTGATGGAACGAGGAGGCATTTGGAACTTTATGTTGGCCTCCTATAGAGATCCCAATTTTGAAAATTCAGAAAAGTAATTTTAAAGTTTGTTAGTGCCATTATGAAATTTGACTTTCTTTATTTTCGTTGACAGTTTCTTTTTTTCACAGAATCATGACAACCAGATATAATGTTTCAAAAACTGATATTCAGAGGTGTGTGGAGAGTGTTTATTAATATTTGAACAAAAGCAAGTCTCTGACTTAAATTCCTGTATTTACAAAACTACTGTGCTGAAACCTGTTAAACAAATATTTTAAGCATCAAACTAGTTAGTTTACCTTCCCAAATTACATTATTTTTTCTTTCTTTTGGTGTCCCCAAATTAAAAGTTTATAAACTGTAGTATGTTAAAATACTTTCCTGTCATATCTGCATTCATAAAAGGAGGTGAGCTACTGAACCTGCCCGTCCTTAACACAGTGTAGCTTAACATATGCATTATTGGTTAACTCCCTTGAAATAAGAGGTGGTCATTTGGTCATTTGGCCCAGTTGTCCAGGAATTAGCTCATCTTGGCAATAACAAAGGTTTTAATCCCCACATGCTTAGAGTGAAGTCTGGTAGTATTCTGAATCTACTACTAAGGCAGATAATTATTACTTAATGATGAATACATTACGTCTGTCACTTCAGGTGTTCATGATGTAACACGCTCATGTTTGTTTTATTTGTTTAATAGTTGGTTGTTTAATGTCACACTCAGCAATATTCCAGCTATATGACATTGGTCTGTAAATGGACCTAACAATCCAGTGATCAGCAGCATTAGCATTGATCTACACATTGGGATACGATGCCATGTGTCAACCAAGCCAGCGAGCCTGACCACCTGATCCCGTTAGTCGCCTCTTACGACAAGCATGGGTTGCTGAAGATCAATTCTAACCCGGATCTTGTTCTTTAACATAAGTAGTGTCATGATTGACAAACCATAGATATAACACTCATTTTTTCTGTTTCAGGATGACTTGCAACATCAGGGTAAAATCTCACAAATCATTAACCGTATTGCCAACTACCAAGCAGGCATTACGCCCAATCCTAACGACGTGGAAAAGGGAAAGGGCCAACAGGTAAATATCCCTGTCTTATGTGATATGTATGTGTTTTTTTGTGTCGTTTTTCTTGGAGGTACTTGACAGGGTGTGTCGATTTTACTCAGGTACTCTTCAGCTTGTGCATTTGAATTTATCTGGAATTTGGTCTACTGGCAAACAAGGAAAAGTTGAGCACCAACCTGACAATTAACCCGTATTAGAATGTATGAATACCACCCACTGGCGCTTGCCGTTGTTAGCGAAGGGGCCCCAGGTTGTCTGCAATCAAGTGTCGTGCGACTTGCTACACTGACATGAGGGTTTTATGAGCAAGGCTTGTGCAGCTACGTGGGGCATAAATTTCATCTTCGTGCAATGCACATGCACTAGCCTACATCTGCTCTACCTTCCACAAACCAAATGGGTTTGCTCATTGCCGTGCACCGCCTACTTCTCGTAAACGTGTTCTCTGCACCGGTCCAACTTATCCTTGTTTGCCAGTAGTGTTAGAGATAATTTTTACATTTGTGATTTGTGTGGAAATATGTCAAAACTGTTTATAAATCCACTATTTATGAATGAATCAGAATTGTGTCTTGTCTGTTGGGGTTACTATTTCAGAACTCTGCATGTACAATATAAGATGATTCTTCTAATCATTAATTTGTTAATTAAATAAATAAATAATTAAGAAGTTATATAAGATATTAAGGAATTACAACATACAGTAAACTATGGTTATATGGAACTCAAGGGGAACACTAATTATATTTCGTAGTTCATTATGCGCTTTTCGACTGTAGTATACATCGAGTGGATGGGACACAAAATAGCAATTTGTTATGTCCGTCATTTTTATTAAAGCGTGCTTATTATAATCATAGTTTACTGTATGCAAAAATTCATTCTGAAAAAAGTTGATGTGCACGAGTTAATATCTAGTTATTGTGGTGATTAGTATTGTCTACATTTTTTAAAGATTTTAAAGTGTATATGTTTTTTTCTTTGTACTGTGATCTCTACAATCTTTTTTCAAAGTACCTCAAAGTACACACATTTTTCATTGTTTAGTATATTTCTTATTTTACATCTACTTATGTACTCAAGTTTCTTCAGCTTATGGTGAAGTCTGGGATGTTGGGATTGGTGTAATATTTGTTTATTTCTCTATCTATCCAGTTTGTGTTCCATTTAATTTATTTTGTCCATTTTCTCTCTTTCCCCTTTTATTACTGTCTGGATATATTGTAGACAAAAGTAAGTATTTTGTTAGATTTATTTGTTTTGCCTTTCCCATCTTACCTTGCTTGAGCTGAAAATGATGTATCTAGTAATTGTGTTCTACACAAATACAGATCCTGTTGTCTTGGGTCATGTTTCTGGTGAAGCCTTTGTTGTTATGTTCAGATTTGTGTTTCTATGTAACCTGATCTTTCATCATTTCCCAATCTACATAATAGTGACGTCAAAAGCAGATTAAATCTCAACTCACTTCCAAGTACCAGCTGATTATTAAAGTCACTGTGACCTAAACAGTTTCCGGGCTGTCTTGGTGTTAGTTTATACCCATGAATCTGAATCTGAGGTGATAATAGCAGACCTGCCTATCCTTCAATTTTGGCGTAAGGCTTACTATTTTTGGTGCTAAATTACGACCATACTGAAATTCCTTACGACTTCTACAAATGACTGGTAGAATACTAGATATAGGCATGCCCATGCTATTTACAGAGTCATTTACGGTACATAAAGTACTGAAAAACAGAAGTCGCAGCATAAACATTATGAATAGATAATCTTTGCATCTTATATTGCTGGTAAAGTTTATTTCAAAGTGAAAGACTTTTAAAAACGTTAATTAGATTGGCACCAAATTTGACTATTAAACACTATGTTAAGATTTTAAGCAGCTATATTTTTCCTTTATTTCTTGACATTAACATGTCTTACTATCAAATGCACCTGCCTTAGATCCCGCCAAAGATCTGGGTTCGATTCCTGACATGTGTGAAGCCCATTTCTGGTGTGCCCCATGGTGATATTGCTGGAATATTGCTAAAAGCGGCATAAAAATGAACTCAATCACTCCTTGAATCTGGGAGTTCTTGCTTCTACCCTTTTTGAAAAAGATAATTTCATGGCTGGGAGATATATGAAAGAAATGTTTTAAAATTCCTGGTTCTACATTACATGGTGCCTCCCTTCTTGAAGTACATTTTACATCACAGTATGTCATTATTGTCTTGAAGTGATCACACATAGTTTACTGAATAATACATTAGTTTGTATGTTTAATGACAATAACGACTTCTTCAATGAATAAATTTCCAGACATTAAAATTTTACTGAATGATATTTCTAACATCAGCTGGTTATTGTAGATGTGTTCAAAATTACATTCACTGGGTATTTATTGTGACCAAAATAAATACTTAGAATTGAAAAAAAAAAAATGAGAAGTATTATATTTTTGTAGAGTGGGAGTATTTTTAGCCACAGATTGACATTCTCTGATAGCTGTGGCCTCAAGCAGGATCTGTATTTGTGTACAGGTTTCTCAAACAATGGCAGTGTTGGTTTTATCACTGTAATAATTCATTCAAAACATTGATACATTGACATAGAATTAGAAATGATTGAAAATACTGCCATTGTTTGAAAGACCTTGATTTCCTTCAGTGTTTCTCTCGAGCACTCCAGTAGACATAGTGCCAGTTGAACATCTTTGATAGAGGATTAGATGTGTAAATGTTGTTCATAACGTATTAATCTGACATTTCTTTCAGTAATATCACTATCACCAGTGATGCATACTTTGCATGGAATAGAAATAATGTTGTTGCATATGTATGTTAATTTCTAATTGGATAATTCATCATTACAGTTTCTACATATTCACAAAGAAGTCCTCACAGTCAGATTGCTATAAGAATATTTTGTGTATGTGGTGTAACGTGATGAAAACTATAATTCTTGTAAAGGATCAACCAAATATTGTTGCAACTCTGTTAGGATATGTAGGTAATGAACTACAAAAATACTGTCCAGTTTGGGTTCTTAGTTTAAATAGACACCCAGCTACCTACGGTGGTCTTCAAAGGAGACACACTGGGTAACCAGCAAAATACATAATACTGGTTGCCAAGGTGACCCCTTGGATACTCTGGGTTAAAATTTTCACCGAACTATCCATACCATATTGTTTGCCGAGGTGACCCCTTGGATAATCTGGGTTAACATTTTCACCCAAAAACCCATACCACACTGGTTGCCAAAGTGACCCCTTGGATAATCTGGGTTAAAATTTTCACCCAAAAACCCATACCACACTGGTTGCCAAAGTGACCCTTGGATAATCTGGGTTAAAACTTTCACTGAACAGCCCATACCATACTGGTTGCCAAGGTGACCCCTTTGGGAATCTGGGTAAGAATATGTCCAAGCAACCTATACTGGTCACTGATGGTACCAAATGGATGAAGAGGTGAGACTGAGTGACCTGGTTGTGGTTTGCTGCTCACAAAACTGGCCACTTGACTTGGACCAACAAGGATACCTCTTTGACGTGACAAATTACACATGCCAGCTCATGGATGATAATGACATCGTTTTGCACGCTAATATCTTCATATTATTTGCAGATGCTTAGTTGCATAGTTGATACTGAAGCATCAGATATATCCGCAAATCTTTCTAAGCTTACCTGTATGGCGTCTTTAGTAGTGCTGGCGGCTGCTTGTAAATGGTTACTTCAATTTAAACCAATGAGGGCAATACAATTTGAAATTAATTTTAACGGACTGGGAAGTTGTTATTTCTTCTTGTATGTGATGGTCTTACTGTGTTTAGCAAGATTCACAGTCTTAAATAAACATAATTTTGGACTTTATTCAAGGTTTGGTAATATTCTGTTGGCAATGTTGGTGAAGCTTTTCCATTTCGTTTCTTGGACCAGTCTCTAAAGTTTACAGTGACAGTGCAATAAGAAAGTGTAAATGTATCTATTGGAATGGAAATGTTTAAGAGTAAAAATGCCGATATCTGCAACAAATTGTTTCATTTAGACCTTGTGATGGTCCTGATATTTGTTTTCTCAGATTAATTTTTTTTCAATTTTCTGTGCACACAGAAAAATCAATGCAAAAATCTTCTTCAGACCAATTTAAAAGATTTCAGAAAACTTATTTACTGCAATCATGATTGAAGAGCCTCCTGTTTTCATGGAACCATCATGGTAGCCAAGCCTTTACGGTCTTGAGAGAGAAAAATCACATTTGAATCTAATGATTTTTTTCCCGATACATCTTCAGTCGTCTGAAGGAAAATCAAACAATAAATGAATCCAGACAATCACTGGTCTATTTTTATAGGTGAAATACAAAAAAATAAAAATTTCAAACTTTAAAACTTACTTAACCTTGTCTGATGTAGCCTATGTCATGAGAGTTCTCTTTCATCAGTGAAGGACAAAGTGACTTCTGGGCCGAATCACGGGCAGATATCAGAGCCCTCCACTGGCTCTTTAGCCACACCAATGTTTGACTGCCTTGCAGTCAAGATGGATTATTTTAGGTGTAGTAATTTGCTGAGGACATATATTCCCCTTGTAGATTTCCCCACAGAAATCAAAAACTTGTTTCAGAAAGGTCATGACTGTCTTCACACAGATAATCTTTGAAGTTTGTGTCCAAGTCAGTTGTAATGGGCAGTGGTGGCACAGACGTCTTCCTGCTGCAATTGTCTGTGCAGAGTTGCCTCCCTTAGACATGCTAGAAACCTGTGATGATGGGTTCACCACTGTAGTGTTCTGGGTTTGTCATCACCAGACTTGTGGGTTTTTCTCCCACTGGAACACATACTAGATCTCCATCACTTCAGGCTTTACCCCCACTCCGAGGTGACTCACTGTGATATCATGGTAAATCTGTTAAAAGCGGCATTAAACCAAACTCACCACTCCAAGTCAGTCTTAGGCAATTGGATGTGTAATAAAATACATACTGTATAAAACAATGTAAATATGACGCAGAGCCGTGGTGGCTGTGTGTATTCTGGTTATTAGGTGCCTCACCATGAAAGTGTGAGTTCGAATCCCAAATTTGACTCAGTTCCTGAAACGTATTAGGAACCTGTACTTTCCTGAGGAAGTGTAATCCCAAATATAACTTATGATACATTTGAACATTTTCTGAAACACTTGGAAATTCATATTGTAATAGTACAGCACATCATTCTTATTACAACAGGACGACACATGAACCTGTGATGCAACATGTCTGGACATGTTGGTTATCTCCTGGTCATTCACCTGAAGTGATACAATGTAGTTTTGACGACAATTAACATACAAAATAGTAATTTTCAGAAACTTTGACAACAGAATAGGGGGAAGAAGGGATGCATTGTACTCAAGAAAATACAGTATGCTGAAATCTGGTGACAGACATTAAATCCTTTCCCTCAATCACTCAGTGTTATGTATTCAAACTAGTGCTAATACTACAAGTGAGAAGACAAGAATCTTTCTGTTAACACTGTTGTATCTTGGTTGTAGCATTTCTAACATTATAATGTTTTCAAATTAGACATTTTTTAGTTTTGAATAACTTAATCTTTCTGTTTTCATCTAGATGCCGATGGAAGTTGATTGAAATCATGAATATAGTTCCTAGTTCATGTACTTCCAGGTTCTAGCGGGACTGTTCTGCTGTATAGGGTATAGAACAGTTAGCAAGTTGTGTGTTAGTTAACCGTTAAACTAACTATAAGAATTGTTTTCATTAGTGTGTGTTTTCATTTGTATAGTTACTAAAACCTTTGTAGATTTGAACATCAGATTAACATATCTTAAATGTTTCAAAATTGTTATCGTTATTTTTCATGTTGGAACCTTTATGATGTGCTCCATAATTTAATGCAGTTACATTTCCGAACATCTTGACAATATTGCTGTCGTGTTTTTCTGAAATAACCAAAAATATATATTATTAACAATATCACTATTTTGTTGTTTGATGGAAATGGGGGAAAAAGAATGGCAACAAGTCATTTCATCCTTCAGAGTTAAGCAGACAGCAACTCACTAATGGCAGATCCTGGAGATTATAAAGGGGTGTCCTTTTTAATACAGTAGTATTCAGTAGGTCTTTTGTAAGCATTTACTGATCAATTGCACAAGCATTTCATTCAAAAGTTATTACAGGCTTTTTCAGCCACATTGGTCCATATCTTGTTATGTAGTTTTCAAAATGGAGGTGTTCTAATCTTCTGACACTCCTCTCCACTGCTGAAATGTTGTTTTTTAAGTGTTTTTTATCAATGCACATGTAAGGCTAGGCATGATGTTAATTAAAAACCTGCTTGAGATTGCTGTAGACAGTCACATCTCCACCATTGTTAAGAATAAGTGTAAAAGAAGTCTCTTCGTTGCCCAAATGGTCCTGACAATGTAAATGCAGACCCTAACAATTTCAATGACATTCTCCTGGAACTTATAAACCCCTTTTTATATTTATCGTGTCTCAATCGCTGAAAAAGTCTTTGATGTTGTAAAGCATTCTGGGTACTGTCCAACCCATTTTAAGACTAAATCGAAGACTGAAGAACTGAGGCATCATGAGCTAGTGTACTGTTTCCGTGGAAACATCTGCATCTCCTAACCATCATGTGCAGCACATTTCAAAGACATGTTTTTAGGTCCATGAAACCATTGAAGATTCCGTGGCACTAATAGCAGTAAGCAGCCCACCAAAGAAAGTACCCCAAAAAATCTTTTAAGCCAAGGGACCTTAAGATGTGTTCTAGGTACCAACTTTTTTAATTATTTTTTTTTTACCATTTGTGGAGGCTTCAGCACTTGAAAGTGTGGCGCCAGAAATAGATGATATATTTTTCTCCTGAAAATTGAATTTGGCAGAAACTGGATGAGTTGAAGCAACTTATTATTTTTTTGCTTTCTGTGTCAAATTCTTCATGTAACGTTTTGATACCTATAGACATAATATTTGACTGGCTGGTGGACTATTTGGGAATTGATGAAGTAGGCATGTTTGTTTAGATGGTAAGCATAGCTGTTGAGGAGGTTGTTGATTTGGGAAAGACAGGGGAACGGCCTATGACAGCCTTCAAAGGTTTTGAGCTCAGTATATTTCTTATTCCAAGTTATTCGTGAAGGTCTGGATTAGAATATTGATCTTCAGTAACCCATGCTTGTCGTAAGAGGCGACTAACGGGATCGGGTGGTCAGGCTCGCTGACTTGGTTGACACATGTCATTGGTTCCCAATTGCGCAGATCGATGCTCATGCTGTTGATCACTGGATTGTCTGGTTCAGACTCTGTTATTTACAGAGCGCCACCACATAGCTGGAATATTGCTGAGTGCGGCATAAAACTAAACTCACTCACTCTTATTCCAAGTAAGTTAATATTAAAAAATATCACCAAATAATGAAGTATATAATAATATCACCAAATAGTTGCCCGCCAAATAGCATTACTGGAATATGGTTGAGTATTTAATAAAATCATCAGATAATGGAGTATTTAATAATATTATGAGATAATTGAGTATTTAATAACTTGACCTGATAAACTGAGTATTAAATAATATCCCCAGATAATTGATTATATTCATCAGATATCAAAATTACAGCTCTTTTAACATGAACTGGATCAGCTGGATGAAGTTTTTACAGGCATTTCCTACAGACTTGGATCTTATATTGAATTAAAGTATGCAGCCAGATACTGTATTATAAAAGGATATCACATCTGTTTTCCCTTTCCCTGCCCACCATATGTCTGGAATACTGCTGAGTACAGCGTTCTACCAATCCCATTCCTTGGAGACAGATTTCCAGCTCCATATATCACATAAGTCGCTGGTTCATAATTCTTAGTATTTCATTATCGACCATTCATGTATCTAACTCCCAAATTTGCTGTTTCTGTTGTGTGATCAATCATCAAAGGACTGTTGAATAAAATCTTTAAATAAATTCAGATAATATTTTAGATACATATGTTTGCTAAGTGTGTTTATCTTTCCAAGGATTGTACCATTACCCAGCTTTCAGTGTGTACAATTTGCTTCCTGTCCATCTTGTATATAATCTCACTTGATATATAAAATATGTAAACATTTTCTAATCAGCAAGCTGCTCAAATAAGGCTTCCTAAACATACATCCTGTAAATGACAGTGTTTGCAGTAATTTTGTACATAATTGCAATTATTAATTTAAAAATTTTGAAATTTATTTTTTAATTTGAAACATTTTTTTTTTAGAACATAAGGGGAAATTATAGAAAAAAAATTGTTTTCTAACATTAACTTAATTTGTTTATCTGATCTTCAGAGTGATGATGTTTTTTAAGCACAAGAACCTCTTCATATGGATACGATATTTTGTTTCAGAAAGCCAACCTAGGGACCGTACTAGGGGTGTATCTACCATGTATACAGAACATCTTCGGTATCCTTCTGTTTGTGCGGATGACATGGATTGTAGGAATGGCAGGTGCCATGGAGTCTTTCTTCATCGTCCTCATCAGTTGTCTGACGGTGAGTCCACCAATGTCTGCATGACCTACTGAAAGAGGAAACTTTGATGTTTGTATTGTAGCAATCATTCAATTCATATTCTTGTTTTTTAGTTTGAGAATGCCTTGAAATTGAATATTTAACACGATAGCTTGAAAATTAATACTAGTGCAGTTACTTTCAGAGAAGTAGCGTACCTTTTTGTGTGAAAAGACATTATTTTTTGTCATAAAAAAGCAGTAATCAAATTCAGGCGAGTTGGGATTTTTTCCAATGCAGGTGGTTCCTAGGAAGCCTGAACACTGTTTTAGCCTCCTGTGGTAGTAAGCAGTGTGTAAGCATCTGCACATTGAACCTTAAGAACTGAAGCACAGCGTGTTGTCAAATGCCGTGGAATTTGCTGTACAGAGTTGCTTCCCTTTGTCATGACAAAAAGCTGTGATCATAAGACTAAGCCAAGAAATAACTCTTGCTATGTTTCTAGGTTTGTCAACATCAGCCTGTGCTTTAGAGATTCATCAATTGTAAATGTCTAATAGCTGCATCAATTCAATCTTCCCTCACTGATGAAGCTGACACTATGATATATCTGACTTGTTGCTGTGTTAAAGCCAGATCACTCTCAAAACAACATCTTCTCATAAATCGCTGTAAATCAGTGATATGAGCTGTTTGGACAAAGTAATGTGAATGTAACTACCACTAAGAAGTAGAGTTATGTTACTGTCCTTGATTCTCCCTGTTTGTAATGGTTCAGTTTGACTAGCACCATACCCATGTTTGTGGGTTACACAAGGGAACATTTGACACATTCATCACTTCCAGCTTCCTTCCAACCTTAATCTCTCTGATGTAACTGAAATGCTGTTCACAGCAATATAACACAGAAATGGCCCACGGAAAAGACCTTTCCAGGTTACCATTGATGGTGGATAAAAAGAAGTATTAGCAGGTTACTATCATGGACTCTTCCTGTGTAATGCCTAGGTTTGTCAAGCAGTGTATCAATGCTTATGGGCCTCTCTAATGCCATTAGGACTGAGACTGCCAAAGATGTAAGGTTAAGCAGAGTAATGTCCCATGGCCACAAGGCTGGTTTTTCAAGATAGGCCCAGATCCTTGGGTGGTGACCTCTATGGGTTACACATCCCCTTTTAGTAGGGGTGTGGGTCACAAATACTCAATTTTAAGGTGACATGCTATATAAACAACATATTTTCTGCTTTTTCCTTATGTAATCCAAGATAAAGCATATAATTTTTCTTCCACGTCTGGTTGACTCATGCAGGAAAAATGAGTTATCTCCCCTAGTACCATTTTTCCAAACACTTGTATCCCGGCAATGCCATTAGCTTCTTTCAATACCCATCTCGTAGGCAGGGTAAATAATTAGATTGAGATTTAGTTAATATAAACAGGATTCAGAATGTTTTGGTGTACAATAATAAGGCTGGTGTATTAATATCCTCTGCCATTTCCAGACACTGTTGACCTCCATTTCAATGAGTGCTATTGCCACAAATGGCGTTGTCCCTGCCGGGGGATCTTACTTCATGATTTCTCGGGCTCTGGGACCTGAGTTTGGAGGTGCTGTAGGAGTGCTCTTCTATCTGGGGACAGCTGTAGCTTCTTCCATGTACATCATTGGTGCTGTGGAGATATTAGTGGTGAGCATCATCATCATCATCATTTAACATGTTATCAGATGTAATGTCCGACGTTTTTCTAGACATTGTTTTGTTCAGATATCTTGCTCTTGAAGGATATAACACTATCATGGTTTAAAGATTACTTTCCTCAATTTCATCAATGCTTTCTATTGTCATTAATACCATGTCAGCAAAATGTCTATGATCTTAAATGTTGTTAGGGGCAGTGGGGTAGGTAGCCTAATGGCTAAAGCGTTTGCCCATCAGGCCGAAGACCCAGGTTCAATTCGCCATATGGGTACAATGTGTGAAGCCCATTTCTGGTGTCCTCCGCCGTGATATTGCTGGAATATTGCTAAAAGCGGCGTAAAACTAAACTCATTCACTATAATGTTGTTCAAATAAAAAGTTTTGAGTGAGCTACAGTGCCTCATGACAACATCCTTTTTACATGATTATGATCACGTTTAGACTGGCACCACCATTGATATTAATAGTTAATATATTTCTTCAACAATTACCTTCACTTTCAGACTTACATGGCACCACCGATGGACATTTTTGGGAATATATTCCACAGTTACAGATTATATGGAACAGCAGTCATGCTGGTCCTAGCGTTTGTAGTGTTCATTGGTGTCAAGTTCGTCAGCAAGTTTGCTGCTCTGTCACTGGCCTGTGTCATCATATCTATAGTCTCCATCTACGTGGGCATCTTCGCCTCAAACCCCGACAGCAGTGTGGAGTAAGTATGAACTTATTGTGACTTGCGTTATTGATTTACTGGACAATATCTACACAATTTATCAGGGTGCCGTTCCACTAAACGATCTTAACTAAGATCAATCTTAGCAAGTTAAGCCAATTTTACAATCGTCTTAGCTAAAAGTTACACCCGTTCAACTAACCGATCTTAGGCCGATCATAGCCGGTCCCGATCTTACGATCCGATCCAAGCTTAGATGGAGACTCTTTCGTTAGAGAGATAGAGGAATGCGAGGCACGAGTTATTTCCCTTTGCATAGTCTAGCAAATGATGGAAGTAGTTTACGAACCAACTGAGTGAGTGAGTGAGTTTAGATTTACGCCGCACTCAGCAATAGTCAAGCTATATCGCGGCGATCTGTAAATAATCTAGCTAATTAAGATGCATAGCGTTCACTAACATGAGCGTTCATGTTAGTGAACGCTATGTATCTTAGCTATAAATAATCGAGTCTGGACCAGACAATCCAGTGATCAACAGCATGAGGATCGATCTGCGCAGTTGGGAACCGATGACATGTGTCAACCTTGTCAGCGAGCCTGACCACCCAATCCCATTAGTTGCCTCTTACGACAAGCATGGGTTATTGAAGTTCAATATTCTAATCCGGGCCTTCATGGGTATTTTTCCAACCAAGTGTAAACGTGGAGAAAAAACCTGGAGCAAAATATTAGGGCAGTGAGCACCTTGGTTTCAAGTGCAAGTGTGTGTGAACGCTGAGTATCAGGCATAATATAATAATAATATATGCATATTTATAGTGCGGCTATTCCACATCCTGGGGCATGCTCAAAGCGCTATGTACAGATAATTTACACGAGAGTATTTACAGCCGAGATTATAAGTAATATACTGAGAACAGGTTTTAAGTCTGGACTTAAAAAATGTCAATTGTGTGAGAGCTTTTATTATGTGCCTGAACCTTGTCAATCAGAATAAACAAGGCGTGACGAGGCATCCTCTATAACATATGTAGAATCTGTCAGTGGTCTTTAATAACACGCGGCCTGCCTTTAGAATCCCCCACCAAATAAGCGCAGGTGAAATCAAACATATTTGTAATTTTTTGTTTCAGAACATTGTTCACTTCACAGCTGTCCCTATTCTTAACTATGACGTTGCAATATTGTTGTACAAATGTGTTACACCGACTCGCTCGGTTGCGTTCCCATGACGACAGTGGTCAGACTGGCCTGACATTTGTAAGGCTTCAGTGCAGTGTTTGTTTACATCACAGAAATATACAAATTCATTTCATGGGGGATTTTAGGGGACGCTCACGGTGAAATGCTCGCTCTTATTTTTCACATAGAATAGGAAAGCCACCATTTTGGTTTCTCTACGATTGATTTTAGCTATCCTAAGTTGGTCATGAGCAACTTAGACTTTGAATCTTAACTTTACGATTGACTTAGGTAAGATTGGTTAGTGGAACGGTATGCCGATCGTAACGTCACGCTAAGATTGGGATTTTAGGGGTTTACGATTGGCATAGGGCTAAGATCGGTTAGTGGAACGGCACCCAGGCCTTTATCTCGGCACTGATTCCTTGCAACAGTGCTCATGTCGCAGCCTCAAGATATTTTCACAAACTTGTAGATTAACAGTAACAAGAAAACCTGTTTTAGTAGTTATGATATTAGGTCGTACTGGGGGTCGAACCCCCAGAATCCCCCCTTGGCTCCGCCAATGTAAAACATTAACTTCAATGTGGTCTTTAGTCATTTTCAAAAGGGTTTTTTAAAAAAAACCTGAAAACACACACACACACACACACGCAAATGCACATGCGCACACAAAATCATACACACACACAAAATCTCTCCTACACACGCACACACACACCTTGGAGCCGCCAATGCTATGGGGGGTGATGATGTTGAGCGTGACTATGGTACACATGTATAATTCATGTTTGACAATTCACCTTAATGTGACTGCAGTGGCTGTGGGGTAGCCTAATCTTTAAGGCATCCACTCAACATGCTGAAGACCTGAGTTCGAGTCCCCACATGGGTACCATGTGTGAAGCCCATTTCTGGTGTCCCCACTATGATGTTGCTGGAATATTGCTAAAATCGGCATCAAACCATAATCAGTCACTCACTAATGTGACTGCAATGTTTCTGTGACTCACTGATGATGTTGAACATAGCATCAGTGACCATTCAAACACAAAATACAAAATAAATATCTTGAGTCCTTGAATAGGGACTATTCCATTCTTGTTACATTACAACTACAATGGAGTTTAGATGGCTACAATGGGTGACCCTGATGGGTCCCAGTAGCCCATGCTTGTTATCCCCCGCCGCGCGTTTAGTGCGAACCGGGGGGGGATATAGTATTAGGCTCCGTCCGTCCGTCCGTATGTACGAATTGGAATATCTTAAGAACCGTTGACTGGATTCTTTTCATATTTGGTACCTAGGTTCATCACAGTAAAAGAAAGGTCCCAGTCAGGTTTAGTGACGTTGACCTTCATTTCAAGGTCACAAGGGGACTTCAAAGTTTTGCCCTTGTCAGCGAGATATCTCAAGAACAGTTCACTGGATTTTCTTCATATTCAACATCAAGCTTTATCTAGGGAAGGCGCAGGGCCCAGTCGATTTTGTTGACCCTTCACTTAATTTTCAAGGTCACAGCGACACTGCGACAAAGATTTCAGCATGTTAACCTGCATGTAAAGATTGTCAGCGAGACAATGCTTGTTTGAGCTAACTTCATGTAGCTAAAGTTTGGGTCCTGGTTGATTGTCCTGGCCATTGCCCTGGATGGCATGGATAATGAGTGAGTGAGTGAGTTTGGTTTTACACCGCTTTAACAATATTCCAGCAATATCATGGCGGGGACTCCAGAAATAAGCTTCACACATTGTACCCATGTGTGAAATCGAACCCGGGCCTTTGTCGTGACGAGCGAACACTTTAACCACTAGGCTACACCACCGCCCATATGGATCATGAGTGTCCCTTGACCAGATCATAGCTGAAATACTGTGGCATAAAATAACACTCACTCATTCGGTGTGTGACTTGGATGTGAATGTCATCATATTCCAATCACATGTGTTATTGCTCGTACTATCAACCACTAGCTTGTATTGACAACTACCACTTCCAGTTTGAACAGTATGTCTGTAACCTAACTATAGCAAACTCCTTTGCTCACAACTGAAGTAGATGTGACCTCTAAGTTGTCTGAACTGGTAGAGGAAGCCCCAATAGTACTATTTGTATCACTGATGCATGATAAATACTTCCATCAGTGGGAAGTCTGGAGATTGCATTGTCTCCCTGGTGTGGCGTCAAGACACTACTTCAGTGTCCATTGTGACATTAGCAGGTATTTCGGTATCTGAGTGCACCATAAATCCTTGATTAAATGCCCAGACACTTTTAAAGCTTTCATTTACCCCTTGCATGCAATTATTCTGTGATTCAAGGCGGGGTAATTATTTTTTGGATGATTTCTCAAACGGAACGCACACAGACAGTGTGAAACGATCTTCTAGATAATACATTACACGGTTTATGTAACATATCTTTCTTTCTTTGTCTAACACTGTAGTCTGCAGTGTGGCAACCTGTAATTAATCAAGTGATTGATATTGTAAGCATCAATTATCAGAGTACAGTGACATGACTGTAACCAGGGTCACAATCCACAAAGCGTTCGTAATGTTACAACCTGTCGTAACTCTACAGTTTACGATATGCTTACGAATGTCGTAGCACTGCAAACTCTTTGTGGGTTGGACCCAGGTCACAGAACCAGCCTGTTCTATTTGATCAACTGTTACTCCAGACATGGGGTGCTTCACACATTGTACCCATAAGGGGAATCGAACCCGGGTCTTCAGCTTGATGAGTGAACACTTTAACCACAAGGCTACCCCACCGCCCCTCATTTCAGCACCATCTGACCCTGTGTTACTTTTACAGAGTTTGTAAAGCATTGGTGATGTTTTGTCAAAACTTGCAAAGTGACTATTTCAGATTATTCACCTGTCATCTTTTTAAATGAAAAAGAGCATGTAATTGCCCTAATTAAAAAGCTATTTCTTGGCTCATTGTTGCTAATATATTTTTCCTCTTTTCCTGTCGTTATGTCATAGTGACACCAGAAATGGGCTTCACACATTTTTCCCACATGGTGAATCGAACCTGGGTGTTCAGCATGACAAGCAAACACTTTAACCACTAGGCTACCCCAATGCCCCCATTATGTCATAGACACAGCTGGGTAAAGGAGTGTCAAACATATACAACCGGCAGCACCTAATAACACACCAGTTCTAATCCATTAACAGCTAATACCCATGTGGCAAGCGTGTTATAGATACATCAATGTTTGGATGCAACAAATGGGGCTATTTGTCTGTAAAAACACCAATTCTACCCTCCCATTAATGTTTCTCTTTATGAGAATAAACATAATTTGGATACAACATTGTCCGATGTACACAACAAATAGCTGCAATAAAGTACAAATTCTGATTCCCAAAGACCTGACATTATTCATCATTTGAATTGCCAGACTGAAATGAAACAAACATATTGAGTGTCCCCTGGAGCTGGTTATGGTAGAGACCAGAGGATGTGTTGACTGGGTACATGACCACAGTAGGGTCAATAGACTGGGTGCATGTCTACAGTTGGGTCAATAGACTGGGTACATGACCACAGTAGGGTCAACAGACTGGGTGCATGTCTACAGTTGGTCAATAGACTGGGTGCATGTCTACAGTTGGGTCAACAGACTGGGTGTATGACTACAGTTGGGTCAATAGACTGGGTGCATGACTACAGTAGGGTCAATAGACTGGGTGCATGTCTACAGTAGGGTGACAAGACCCAACTGGGGAAACAGGTGGCCCACTCATCCAAAACCTCCCATTTCACTATGCCAAGTTGGATTACGTTGATCTGCTGGCAACCTATGATCATGGGTTCAAATCACAGATCCTCCTTGTCATGTGTCTAAGATTTGTCAGCACCATTGGTTTCTCTAAAATGGTAAAAGTCTAAGACACACAACACTTTACGCTCTTTACGTTAACCCACCATGTTATGAATATAATACTGTTCAATAATACAACTCAGTCCATTTATCACTTGCTTCAAACTATGTGATAAATTGTGTATACCATCACGTTCTGCCAACAGGATATGTGTTCTCGGAGATCGACTGCTGACAAGTGATTCTGTCATGGTGAATGGAACCTTCTTCTGTGAGAAAAACATTTCCAGCGCCATCTACCACAATTACTGTGGCGTGAACAACAACACCGGTGACGCATGCGAGTACTACAACAAAAACGAAGTCCATCAACTCAAGGGTATTCCAGGCATTGCAAGTGGGAAATTTATGGGTAAATTTATGATTGTTATAACATTTGTTTTTGTCTGAATTGGTTGACACAACTTTACTCTGTTAGGGTTAGGGCTGTACATGTCAGAGTTATCTTTCTCGTTTTACGTGTCTAAAACTATGATTTGCCAGAAAATAGAAGATACAAAATACATTAAAAGTTGAGGTTGACAAAGTAATAGTGGTTGGGTAAGGGAGGAAATGTGATGAGAATTATACTGTGTCTGCCTTAAAATTGGTCTCATGATTGCCCCAAGAACTGAGGATGTGCGATTTGCTCGAGGACACAGGAACACAACAAAATGGGTAATCCAAGATTTTGTTTGTTTACCACTGCACTCATCCAAGAGTTTCCATATGGCATTCCCAACCATAGAAGCAGAAGGGTATTCAAAGGCTTTCAAAATAAATCCTGTCAGGATTTGTTCAGGCAGTATCAAGTGTGTTTACAAAGTCAACAAGATGATATAAGTTGGGATATAACTGGACAACATGGAACATGATTTATTCATGCACTGATAATTTCCATTGCACCAGTGAACACAAAACCAGCTGTTGTGATTAAGATTCAGTGCAGAAAGAATGCCATATGGACTCAACATTGCTCACTGAAATTTAACAGAAATGTTGTCGGATAACTGTTTTGTAATAAGTAGAAATGAGTTCTGTTTGTTGTTGTTTAATGCTGCACCTAGCAATATTTCAGCTATCTGATGGTGGTCTGTAAATAATCAAGTCTGGAATAGACAATCCTGTGATCGACATCATGAACATTGATCTATGCGACATACCATGACATGTCCACCATGTTAGTGAGTCTGACCACCACATCACATTAGTCGTTTTTGCAAAATGCACAGGTTCCTGAAGATCAGTTCTACAGTGAAAGTTCACAGGTCAAGTAGAAATAAGACTGACTCGTGATGGAAAGCATGTATAGGTCCAGGAATGACTCAATGATCCAACATTTACCAAGTGCTTGAGTGTGACTTTGTGTTACAGAGAATGTTTACAACCACTACACTGAGGAAGCAAACATCGTTGGCACCGATCAGAAGGGGTCTGAGGTTAGAGGGGAGGTCTTGGCCGAGATAACAACGTCATTCATGATCCTCCTGGCTATCTACTTTCCCTCAGTTACAGGTCAGTATCAACACTGTTACAGACAGTATGTACTCTGTTACATGCAGTATCTACACTTTTAGTATTAATAACCATCACAGTTAGTATCCACTGTTACAGTCAGTATCTACACTGTTACACTTAGTATCCACTGTTACAGTCAGTATCTACACTGTTACACTTAGTATCCACTGTTACAGTGAGTATCTACACTGTTACACTTAAAGTACTGTCGAAAATGCTAGAAAAATGCTTTTTGACTTATATTTCAAATTCAGAAGTATTACAGTTACTTAAATAACAAATATCACTTTAAGAAACATCTACCTAATGCAGACCGAGGGAATAAATTTTGAGACATGCCCTAAAATGCGTTTTTACTGATGAAAATACCAAAAACTTAGAAAAATAACCGGTAGTGGGACGTTATTTGATACAAACATTAACTGCCTGTGTTACGTCATCAGCATGCACGGTATCGCATGTGTACTTATAGTATACGTATTGGTTATGTAAGGGATCATTTGTGTATGTGTGTTTGTTGTGAAATAAACATACGAATTACTGTACATTGGAAAGAATCCTATCACTTGTGTTATCTTATCGATTGATTGTAGAAATGTGCAACGTTTTAATAAATGTTTTGCATGTCAACAGTATATTTCATTGCAAAAATATGGATGTAATTCGGTCAGTTTAATCTAGTTGTGAACAGTGGCCAAAGATTTAATGAAGTCACTGGTGTAGCTTCTTTAGAATATATATATTCTTCTTCTCATAAAGTTTGTAGACCGCCCGTCAAGTACTCCCTTGTCAAAGTTGTCAAGGATGGTTTTCGTCCGGTTTTGCTTTTGAGGCGGTCCCTGTCTTGTCTGATTTGTTTACAATATTGTAAACTTGTTGGTAAGACATACCAACAGCTCTACAAGTTCTGTAATAAACCCTTTCTATACTAATGAAAGGTTTACCTCTGTCTTTTCAAGCACAAAGCTTATAAACCTTTGCAACAATCGTCTGCAAATAGTTGGCCATAGTGGACTGGGCTGTGATAAAGATGTGCATGCATGACGGGGAAACTTGTTTATCAAGACTTAACATTTATATTAATATTTCTTCAATAAAAAGCGATAATTAAGTTAACACAAACATTCAACATTGATTTGTTTAAGAAAAACGTTAATTTATATTTTTAAACCACCTGTATTATTAGCATAAATGTAAAGACTATTTCAGATTTCTGTTGTTGAACTCTGAAAAAATCTTAAGTTGTTGTTTTGGTACCAAATTCTCTCCTGTAAACTGCCCTTTAAATGCATGGGAATGTTAAATCAATTGAAATAAAAATTAGGTACACTATAGGTGAGTTGATATATTGACAACATAGTACATTTATCACCTTTCTAAAGATATTAAGGCTGAAAAGCATTTTTCTAGCATTTCCGACAGTACTTTAGTATCCACTGTTACAGTCAGTATCTACACTGTTAGTATGTACAACCGTTAGTATCCACACTGTTGCAGTCAGTATCCACACTGTTACACAGTTGTATCTACAATGTTAGATTTGGTATTCACACTGTTATAGTCAGTATCCACATTGTTACAGCCATTATCCACACTGTTACATTCAGGTCCTGCAATGTAACAGTCACTACCATTGTCATGAAGTGACCTCTGAGTCAGCAAGTATTACAATGTATATAAGTGTTACAAACTGATGTGTTGTGGTTTACAGAAACTATTGCTCACCTTTCTGTATGATTGTATAAACTTCCCTGAACATGAGGGGTTTTGAGGTAGCCTGGTAGTTAAAGCATTCGATCATCATACAAAACACCCAGGTTCATTTCCCCACATAGGTACAATGTGTGAAGCCCATTTCTGGTGTCCCCGCCATGATAATGCTGGAGTATTGCTAAAAGCAGCGTAAAATCATGCTCATTCACTACCTGAACATCCTGGCCCTGTGATAAGGAAAGACAAATTACTTTAAAACTTATTCATGTACTTCCCACTGACTTTAAGGGGATCATTACCGTTTCAGTTTCCTTAAAAACACAACACCAAAAATCAATATGTATCTTCAGTTTTAAAGTAATTCTTGTGTAAAACAATCTTTGAACGGTAATGAAGCAGGGAAATCAATCGTCAACACAAACACATGTCCTTTGAAGCGCCCATCTATCATCATTAGCAGTGCTCACGGCTCACCTTTGACCCTGCATATTTTTCAGGCATCATGGCCGGTTCCAACAGGTCTGGTGACCTTGCTGATGCCCAGAAATCCATTCCAGCAGGAACTATAGCTGCTATTTTAACCACTTCCGCTGTGTGTATCCTTCACAGAAATAACTGCCTATTGGATTTCTTGGCTTGAAATAATATTTTTTTCTAAGGGTAGATATGATTAGGTTGTATGATGCGGATGCAGAGTTGCTGAATCTTGCTTGAAGTCTGCACAAAGTTAAGACAAGTCATAAGATGTTGACCAATATGCTGAAAGAGCATACTAAACCATAAAGGTTTGACAACTGGCTACATTGGACCAACAACTTTCAACTGAATGTTGTAATTTTTAAGATTTTTGGTAAAAATTGTACTGACCAAACATGTAAGTGGTCATGGATATTTTAGGGCTGTTTTGTTTATGTCGAAATCTAAGCTGACAGTTTCATTAAATTATTCATAATCCTTATTTTTTTGGGTTCTTAACAGTTGTATTGCCCTGTGAAATGGCAGTTTTACTTTTAGCGTATGGTTTGATGTTAATTTTAACCAAACTTCTTTGGTTCAAGTTCTTTTGTTGAAATATTGATTGTTCTTGATTTTGAAATCAGTCTTTTATCTTACTGAAAATACATGTGACATACATGCAAACTTTTATGTGTTTACAACAAATGCTTTAGTGTGCATGCATGCAATATGTCCGAAGCAGTGTTTACTGTTAATCCTTAACTGGTTCAGATATCAGCTCGGTGCTGTTCTTTGCTGCATGTATTGAAGGTCATCTACTGAGAGACAAGTAAGTGAGGGAGGGGAAATTCAACATAAATATCAACCATGGATGTTCACATTGTCTCAACTGTACCCCTCATCAATGTCCCAGTACTATTTCTGGTGCAGGTTCCATGCTTATGGGGGGGTGGGGTAGCCAAGTGGTTAAGGTATTCGCTCATCACGCTGAAGAACCGGGTTCGATTCCCCACATGGGCACATTGTGTGAAGCCCATTTCTGGTGTCCCCCACTGTGTGAAAAGTGGGTAAAACCAAACTTACTCACTCACTCCAAACTTATGTCAGTGCCTAGCGATGCGGTTCTGGTGGTCATTGCTGATCAGTTTGATGTTTTACCCATTCAATATAAGTGGGGAAGGGATATTACTGGAATGGTCCTGACTGATGGAGGCACTGGGTAGCCAAGTGGTTAAAGCATTGGCTCGTCACACCGAAGGCTCAAATCCCCACATGGGTACAGTGTGTGAATCCCATTCCTGGTGTTACCTTGTGTGATATTGCTGAAATATTGCTATGAAAGCCACTCACTCACTCTTAGAGAGGTGTCAGACAACACTCACTCCATCATATTGTTGCATATTAAAGTGAAATATGTGTCACAATTGTCTATACCTCGAATGAAATGCTCAGACTTCCAGACTATTAAGGGGTGTGGGGTAGCCTAGTGGTTAAAGCGTTCGCTCATCACACTGAAGATCCGGGTTCAAGTCCCCAATGTGTTAAGCCCATTTCTGGTGTCCCCCGCCGTGATATTGCTGAAATATTGCCAAAAGCAGCGTGAAACTATACTCGCTCACTCTATAATATCAAACAATTAGTCTATACCAATTAGTCTGTATCTAAGTAACAGCAAGCTTTTATCAGAAAATATGTAAATTTTAAGGATAAGGGACACTTCATATTTGATGATGGTACGGCATTTTTGTTGACATGTTGTGGATGATGTTTGCAGGTATGGTGTCAGTATAGGTGGGAGTCTGCTGATTGGAACGCTGGCCTGGCCGAACGAGTGGGTCATCATGATTGGAGCCTTCCTGTCCACACTTGGGGCGGGGCTGCAGACTCTCACAGGTAACACATTCCTTACAATGGTGGAGTAGATCCTGGAGTTGAGTTTCAGGATTAGATGAAAAAATGTAATTCAATATCTCAAAGTGATATACATTTATTTTGGTATAGAAATGTATTTCAAGCAGACTTTTAGGCCCTAAAATACACCAATTTATTCAATTTATTTTAAAATATTCAAAATAACATCAAAATACATCCCATACTGAATGTGATAAAATGTTGAGTATACTATGAAAACTGCCATCCAATAACCTCAACATGTCACATGGAGATATATCATGCTGTGTCACATGGAGATATATCATGCTGTGTCACATGGAGATATATCATGCCATGTCACATGGAGATATATCATGGCGTTTCACATGGAGGTATATCATGCAGTGTCACATGGAGATATATCATGCTGTGTCACATGGAGATATATCATGCCATGTCACATGGAGATATATCATGGCATGTCACATGGAGATATATCATACCGTATCACATAGAGATATACCACACATAGAGATATATGCTGTGCTGTTTTCAGGTGCTCCTCGCTTGCTTCAAGCCATTGCCACCGACAATGTCATCCCATTCCTGTCCATATTCAGTAAAACAACGAAACGTGGCGAGCCAGTGCGCGCCCTCCTGCTCACCATGCTTATCTCCGAGTTTGGCATCCTCATTGCCAGCCTGGACTATGTTGCTCCCATTATTACCATGTGAGTGATAGATCAGGTGTAGTAATAATAGCTGTAACAGTGCAGGAGGATATTGGTATTATAGAGTTATTATGAAGTGTTATTTACCCATCACATTATATCATTACGTGTGTCAAGACTTGTGTGTCATTTGTGACTTCTTCGTTCATTTTTGAACTTTGACAACATGTGTAAAAGTGGAATTAACTAATAGATACTTGTGAGATATCAAATTAATTTTATGTCCAGTAAAGTCTATATTTTATCAATAAATACATAATGATGACAGTCACTTTTGGAAGTCTTTTATTGATCTGATCAAAATACCAGTTCAAAGCAATATATGACCAAGTGGTAAAGGTAAGGACAGTTAATTTATCCTTCCTTTAGGGTATACAAGTTTTCATTTTGAAATAGGTGTTGAAATATCTTCAAGTACTTCAAGTACACACAGAGAGAGCATGTGTATTTCCTCTTTCTGTTTTGGGTGGTGGGGTAGCTTAGTGGTGAAAGCATTCACTTATCATACCTAGGACCTGGGTTCAATTCCCCAATTGGGTGAAATTGCGAATCCCATTTCTGGCTTGCCCTACTAACTACTACTGAACTGAGGATGATAATGGCTTCAACTAAGCATAAGAGCAACGACATCAAATTATATTAGTTTCATATAACCTCAGGGGTTATATATGATTATGTTCTACATTGTGACACCTTGTACAGCACCTTAATATACCAGCCTTTGTTTGTTCTCACTGTCAGGTTCTTCCTCATGTGCTACGGCTTTGTGAACATGGCTTGTGCGATGTTGACGCTGCTACGAACACCAAACTGGCGACCTCGGTTCCGTTTTTACCATTGGATACTGTCGTTGGTGGGACTCACGCTATGCATCACACTCATGTTCATATCAAGCTGGTACTATGCCCTGACGGCCATCGCTCTGGCCTGCTGTATATACAAGTACATTGAATACAAGGGGTAAGTACTGAGAGAGTTGAAGGTGTCACTACGCCCTGCGGGCCATTAGGGGCAGGTCATCCAGTATTGCTAAGGAATAAAATTACCCTTAATCACTTTAGCAACAAGGGGTAGGTACAAAGGTTTGAAGGTAGCCATACTACTGACCTTGAATGAAATTACATTGTCTTACAGGCTTCTTCTTGAAATTGGGGCGGTGGGGTAGCCTAATGGTTAAAGCGTTGGCTTGTCACGTCGAAGACTTGGGTTCGAATCCCCACATGGGCACAATGTGTGAAGCCCATTTCTGGTGTCCCCTGCCGTGATGTTGCTGGAATATTGCTAAAAGCGGCGTAAAAACAAACTCAGTCAGTCAGTCTTCTTGAAATTCATTTCCTTTGCACTATTGAAACAAGTAGGGGATATTCCAGTGAGGATATTATTTCAGAACCAAGTTTTATGATTGTATTTGTATTTGGAAAGTGTATTTCATTCACAAAGTGCAACATGTTACAAATTGTGTAAATGTTTTCGAATGCATCAAGGTTTACGTTGTACTTCCTTGACAAGCTCTACAGGGTAGACAGAACGAGCAGGTTCATGCAGTTGATACTAGAATCGTTATTGGTGTGTCTGAGTAGTGGTGTGGGGTGGGATCAGTGTGACTGGCAGAACACTGGTACATGTCATTGACAGACACGCCATTGGGCAGCACTACCATCACAATATCTTGGAGGCACAGTAGTGAAAATGTACATGAAAACGATTACCCGGTAGTTCTCATCTGACAAGTGATAGTCTTTATGTTGTAAAGACACTTCAAATGTGTTATCTTGATTCCAGTGCTGAGAAGGAGTGGGGTGATGGTATTCGAGGTTTAGCGATGTCTGCCGCTCGTTACTCCTTGCTGCGGCTCCAGGAAGGGCCCCCACACACCAAGAACTGGAGGTAAGTGAGATTGGGGGAACACACCAACTCAGTCTTATAGCTGCACGAGGTGCAATTTGTCTGTTGGTTTTTGTTTTGTTTTTTCAACTGAAATCCCATTTAACATGTGGAAACATCACCAATGCACAAATACCCAGACAGGACAATTTCCCTTGTGAGTGCAGATACTGGCATTCAGGATCAACTTCTGCCATTGTTGATGGTCAGTTCATTCCCCTGACAAGGTCATTAGGCTCTTGAACTGTCACATTATTATATGAAAATTACACAAGAGCTGCAATCTCCTAATAATTCAAGATCCAACTACATATACACATAGTTATGTTATGGTGCAGATTGGAGAAAGTCATCAAACCATACATCTGTACTGGTACATTTATAGGCTAACAGATAATGTATTTGTAACCATGGATACAACTGTATCAAACAACACTTTCTTTATAGCATAGTAACTATATATCACATATCAGTGCCTTTCATTTCAAATGTTGTGATTCGTATTGGGGAAGGGGGCACAGGTGGATCAATGGTCTATACAGAGTTGCAGCCCTTTGCTTCCCATAGGATCTGCTTATTGTGGTCGACTTCATTGATATCCTAGGTTTGAAAACTTCACTCTTGTAGGTGTCACCAAAGTGGTAGAAGTTTAGAACCTATTCCATTCTGGCAGACCAGTCTGATTGTAATCTTTATATGACCGAAATATATGTGATAAAAATTTCCAGTGTATGTTATATATTTTTTTTATGGGAAATAGTGATTACTTTGTAACTATGTTCCAAAAGTTTTAATTTCATCACCATGTCAACTAAATGTATTCACTACCACTTGATCTCTGAGAAAAGCTTGCATTTCATGGGCACACTTTGTCAGGTTCCAAGGCTTACAACAAATACATTAACAAAAGTAACTGCTGTAAGCATCAATTCTACTCACCTAAAGCATAGCTTTGTATTTTTTATGGTCTGTGTTTGGAGATTATGCCATTGAAAGATATGATCATTACTTTCAAATATCACGTTAATTTTACAACTAGTCCTGGTAGTGTATTTCAGCATATCCTGTTGCTAATATTGCATGTATTTCAGACCTCAGCTGTTAGTGTTGTTAAAGTTGGATGACAACCTGCAACCTAAATACCCCAAGCTTGTCAGATTTGCCAGTCAGCTGAAAGCAGGTGAGTATTGGCCTGTATGGAATTAATAGTGTCAGTACTATGTCAGAGAGTGTTCCAACAGTTGCATCTCCCAGTTATGGGACTTGGTGGCCAATAGTTTTTTGACAGTTGAAAGTGCAGCCACTATTGTTAGGGATACTTCAGTATTTCATTTAAACATTACCAAACCAATAGAAAATGGCATATGATATTTTAGACTCTGAAACATTCGCTGTGAAGTTTAGATTAAATGTGACCTCCCTGTGATGATTCAAAGGCTGAATTGATTCATTGCATGGAAATGGTGGCTACTCCGGGGGTTTGCTTGACACATGGGTTGACCACTTCTCAGTGTTTTGATTACGAGATCAGTGCACAAGTTGATGTATGCACAGCGTAAGGAATCCCAAGATGAGACTCAATCTAACAAAAATACTAGAATCTGTACTTTACTGAAAGCGTGTACTAAAAACTATTACATGTTACATCCTAGCACCCTGCAGCTGATAGTATTGATATTGATATTTAATCTAGCTGTGATGCAGTGTTGATACCAGACTGGTGGCTAGTAACTCTCGTTCTGTTTCAGGCAAGGGTCTGACTTTAGTCAACACAGTGATTGAAGGAACATTCACGGAAAAGTTTGCAGATGCTCAAGCTGCCAAACTTGTGAGTATTCACCCTTACACAGGAAAGCTGTCTTTACATCAAAATATCATCCAACATCAGCAACTGTCAGTAAATAATGCACATGACAACACAAACATAGCGAAAGGCCATAAAATGTTATTTAATCTGGAGTTATCTCCCTTATGTTGCTTCTGCTATCTTTCATTACAAATATGGTCAATTTGGTACGTTGGAAAATTTTATTTGGACTTGTAAACAATGTGTTTGACCAAAGTACTGTAGCCTTTAGCTGCCATTAATTTATGAATTTACATGTCATCATAACACTATGCAAGCTATAAATCAAACCATTGACTTGTTCACTGCCCCATTTCATTGGTCCGCTAAAAGACACACACCACATATACTCAAGGGTGGTGAAGGACCATGAAAGACGAACTAGTGAACGTGCTCCTGTATGTTCCAGGCCCTAGACAAGCTGATAAAGGATTACGGCGTGAAGGGATTCTCTGATGTATTGATAGCCAGGTCTGTCACAGAGGGACTGTGTCATTTGTAAGTACAAATGCTTTATATATTGTATATGATGTTGTAACTTATCCTTTCAAAAATGTAAAGAATTTCTAAATGTCACAGGTTGTTAAAGGTAATGATTTCCCAACGTGAACAACAAACTCACAAACTGGATATATCTTTCCTGCAATGTGAATTGATGACTGATGTCTGACCAATTTGATTTAATTTATGGAGACCCATGCATGAAGATCCAGGTTAGAAGTAGTCTGACTTATTTGACACATCATTGTATCCCAATTACATAGATCGATGCTCATGCTATTGATCACTGGATTGTCTGGTCCAGACTCGATTATTTACAGACCAACGCCATATAGCTGGAATATTGCTGAGTGCAACGTAGAACAACAAACCAACCAACTAATTTATGTATGTAATCTAATTTGTGCACAGATATGAACTCATTGTCTGCATGTATAGTGCACACACCTCTGCACTGTAACTATGCGTTCCATTACAGAGTACAGAACGCTGGTCTGGGAGGGTTGAAACACAACACAGTCGTCGTTGGATGGCCATACGGCTGGAGACATGACTCGGATGAAAGGAGTTACAAAGTGTTCCTGGGTCAGTGCCTCAATAGACACACAGCTTAACATGCCCTTTCACCAACTGAGGAAAATTTGTAGCTATACTCCCAGCCTTGCTTCACCAAACTGAATTCTTGATTCAGGAACCAGTTGCAGCATTCTGCCTTTCAAACTAGTGATTTTATTAGGAGACTTGTCCCAAACTTTATACTTCAAGATCTGTTTTTTGGAGCAGAACTTCCTGGCCATTGTTCAAAATGCTGTTGTAGATGCAAATTTGAATTTCAAGTTTTCTTATTCATAATTTTAAAATATCACATGTAAAAACTAAAAGAAAATTTCATAGGCATATAAACATTAATTAACGAATCTTCTTAAGGAATAACACTTTGGCAAAAGAAATCACAGGGACACCTTTATGGATGATGTATCCATGTTTCTCCCTTGTTGCAGACACTGTACGAAATGTGGGAGCTGGTCAGTTGGCCCTGTTGGTGTGTAAAGGAATCGCTATGTTCCCTGACAATGAGAAACTGCGTGGTACGATTGACGTCTGGTGGATTGTTCATGATGGCGGGCTGTTGATGTTGCTGCCCTTCCTCCTGAGGATGGACCGATCATGGAAGAACTGCAAGCTGAGGATCTTTACTGTGGCTCGTATCCTTTCATCAGATAGTGAGGGACGTTGGGGTAGTCTAGTGGTTAAAGCGTTTGCTCGTCACGCTGAAGAGCAGTGTTTGATTCCCCACATGGGTACAATGTGTGAAGCCCATTTTTTTGTGTCTGCAGGGTTTTGTCCTGTAGATGTTCATTAGGCAATTGGTGTTTTGACTTCCCTGGAGGGATTGTCTCCCTTGACATGTAGGTGCAGATACTGTTGAACTACTACAAGTCCACTCAAACCATTATCTGTGTACCGGTATCTTTGCATTTGACACAACTCTTACTGCCTTTGGGGTATTTGTAGAGTAGAAGAATCATATTTCTAGAGTATTTGAATATGTGTAGAGTTTAAAATTTAATGATTCATCAATCGCTCAAGAGAGTATCCAAAAAAGTCATTGTCATTATTGTCTGTTTCAACATTGTACAATTCACGCAGCTCTGAATTGCCTTCTGAATATGTGCAGAATGTTAGTGATGCAATCACTCAAAATAATTAAGAATTATGTGAATAGGATCCTTAGGTATCCAGGTTAGAATTGGTCTCACTAACTTGGTTGGCACATGTCATCGTATCACAATTGAGTAGATCGATGCTCATGCTGTTGATCACTGAATTGTCTGGTCCAGACTTGATTATTTACAGACTGCCACCATATAGCTGGAATATGGCTGACATAGAAACAAGCTTCCAATGCATTTGTTGAAAACTGAAGGTGTCTATAAGAACAGACTGATTAGCTGTTGGATACCATGTTAGCTGAAGGTAGGGATCATTGCCTATGATGTCGGTCACTTGTTTGACTGGCCATTTAAAGCTGCAATATTTTTAAACAACACAGTACAAGCCCCACAAGAGTGAAACTTCCTTAATGTGTGTAGAAATGGAAGACAACTCGATTGAGATGATGAAGGATTTGAAGACATACCTTTACCAGCTGCGTATCGAGGCTGAGGTCAATGTTGTGGAGATGGTGAGTGATGATGTCACACATGATGCTGCTAGTACTTAGATGTTGAATGAAGACAGAATCATTGAGAACATGCATAAGATAGGTGACAGTGATGTGTTCTTGCAAAATATTGGCAGACAGATGCCCTTTTATTTGTCATTCAAACAAGAGGAAACGAATGTTACTTGATATTGTTACTGAAAAGCAGCAAAGCTAAAATTGAGGAATATTTGAGCATTTATTGTGAAAGGAATCAGCTAATAACAAAAGCTGCCAACAGTTTACTGTTGGGATGACCAGGTTTCAGTTGTAATCCTAGCACTTGTGATGACTTCCTGTTCCAGAGCACCATTGACATCTCTGCATACACATATGAGCGTACACTGATGATGGAACAGAGAACCCAGATGTTGAGGGACATGAGACTGAATAAAATGGAGGTGAGTGTCACTTTTGACCTGGAGCAGACGACAGCTTGAATCTATGTAAACAGAAGATATTTATGTTAATCTCTGACAAAACTGCCATATATCTGGAATACTGCCGAGTGCGGCGTTAAACAGCAACCAACGAATCTCAGATGTATAACCCCAAGCTTTTGCATGAGTTGAATCTTAGAGACAAAGATATGGATGCGTCTGCTATGTGTGGATCTGTTTATCAGGTAAACCTCTAGCTTGACTTACCTTTGACAATGAAATCTGCCACAGCTGCTTGAAAATGACATAATGTGGTGAGATGTGGTTTAGTCTCAGATTAGTATGCTTGTCATGCAGCACACCTGAGTTTATCTACATGTGTACCATTTCTCAGGCCGATTCTTGGTTACCTTCACAAATTTGTTACTAGCCTCAGAATTTTGTGATCGGTCCATATGTCAGATTAACAAATTGTGGTCTAATTTATTAGCATCAGCCACTGACATTTAGAGAAACAGTACATACTTTAAGTACAGATTCTAGTACTTTTGTATGGTTCAGTCCCATCTGGGATTCGAACCCACACTCTCAGAGTCAGGAACCTAATTGCCAGCACCTAAAGCCAACCATCTAAGCCTCTCAGGGGGCAGTAGGGTAGCCTTTTGTTAAAGAGTTTGCTCGTCACACCAAAGGCCCGGTGTAACAGGCCAAACTTTTCCCCTGGCCAAACCTTCCCCAGGGAAACTTTGGCCGAACCCAAACTTTCCCCGGGGTAAGAATATCCTAGGACAAAACCTCTCCGGGGAAAGTTTGGCCTAGGCCAGATTCTCCTGGGGAAAGTTTAGACTGGGGAAGAAATGGCCTGCTACACCGGGTTCGATTCCCCACATGGATACAGTGGGTGAAGCCTATTTCTTGTGTTCCTCGCCTTGATGTTGATGGAATATTGCTAAAAGCGGTGTAAAAGCATACTCACTCACTCACCAACCCACTCAGCCACAGTGGCTTCCACCAAAATGGAAGTCGGACAATTGGTAGTCTAGACCACAGACTTATGTACCTCTTTGACATGTGTAAATTGGCACAGCTCCCACGGCCAAAAGTATGAATACACAATGCCATTTAGGAAGCTGACAAATGTAACACATGTTATGTTTGGGATTACACTTTCTCAGTAAAGTAGAGATTCTAGTACTTTTTGGCAGAATTTACAGAATTTAAGTCCCACTATAATCACGACTGTTTGATTTTAAAACTGTTGCACTTTCCTTTATAACCCTGTAAAATATCACCAGCAGATCCTCACTTACTATATGTATTTTTCCCCAGCCACAAGCCATTGTGGATCGATCCCACCTGACACCATCAGATGTGATGTTACGTCTGGACCCAGTCCCTGAGGAGAACGATGACGAGAGCTCAACTGACCCCACCGATCACAGTAAACGCAACCAGTTCACCTTCACCCCTCAGCAAGGGGGGCAACTCCTCAATCTCAAGCCGTAAGTAGAGACAACTCTTGCTGGCCTATGAAGCCAGCAGCTAATTGAAGAAGTGTTGGAAAACAGGAGTTAGTTCAGCAATAGCGGGGTGCCCCAGGCCACAGTTCATTGGGAAAAAGGCAAACTTCAATCTACAACCATGGTTCTTGAGTAAGACTGTGAAATATTATAATACAATAATATAACAACAATACAACTTATTCCAACACTTCTTAAATTAATAATGGGCACCAATCGACGCTTTGTCTAATATACATGCCAGTAGTTCATATACTCCCACAGTGTACAGCTTCTCAACACTTCAACATCAAATAAATCTCATATGGACTCGGGGTTAATGCATGACTACAGCTTATCATCTAATACACCAAACTATGGAAGGGGCAATCGTCAAATCTGAAAATTCTTTCCAGCCCGACACAGTGCTCTCCCTTGAGTTGGTCTGTCGGATACTTTGAATTATGCTTTTCTATATATATCCACTACACTAGCAACAGAAGGCAATTAGTTTCTATAGCAAATTATTTTATTTTAGATTTCATGGTGAAGGTTTTTTAACTGTACTTTTTAAAAACACAAGTGGCTCAGTGAGTTGGGCAGGGTATATTTATGTAGGGAAAGGGGTAGGGTATAATTGAACATAGCAGAGGGGTAGGTGTTATGTTATATGTGAATCAGATGGTATCGATATGTGGCATGGGCAGAGCAGATTGTTATATAGGATGGTTTAATATTGATATTCCAAGCTAGGTTGTTTTCAGACTGCCGCCATATAGCTGGAATATTGCTGAGTGCAGCATAAAACTAAACTCACTCACTTAATATTGATATATGGGTTTGGTAGGGTGTAATGTTATATACTGAATGGGCTGTATGTATTGTTATATAGTGGATGGGAAGGTGTAATGTTATATATGAAATGGATGGCATGGGCAGAGCAGATTATTATATAGGATGGGTCGACAATATCGATATACAGCATTGGTAGGGTGTAAGAATATATGGGATGTGCAGAGTTTATTGTGATATATGGGATAGTTCTACAGTGGCGGATCCAGAGGGGGTGTTCAGGGGGTTCGAACCCCCCTCCCTCCCCTTTTGAAAATGACTTAAGATCACATCAAATTATTTTTTTGCTTTAGCGGAGCCAATGGGGAGTTCAGGGGGTTCGAACCCCCTGAACCCCCTTCTTTCAAAATTCCTGGATCCGCCCATGGTTCTACATGTTTGATGCTAGGCCAGGTAGAGTGTAATATAGGATGGGCAAATCCTCAACGCAGGATAACAGACACAAGTAATAATCACCATATATGTAATGAGCAAATCTAAATTGTGCTGTGACATAAATCAAAGCAGAAAATTCACTACATGGCATGATGTTGGCAGACATAATGAAGATATGAGTTCTGTGTACACACGTGTGGAATAATCCTCTCTGACCGCACATTTCTAAGTGGGCTTCACATGGTAGAGTTAACCAATGTCATTTGCTACATGTCTGCCATACAATGTCTGTCTTACTACCCAGGGCACCATTTCAGAAAGCTATCGTAGCACTACGACTGTCGTGACTCCTATGCTGTAGCATAGACTTACGACAGACATAGCACTACGATAGCTTTGTGAAACAGGGCCCTGATGTAGTGTCTAATTGTTGCTGAGGAAGCAGAGTAGTGAGCCTGGGTTTGATGCTGTTTTGAACAGTATTCCTGCAAGGTGGGTGAGCTGGCTAAGGGGCCAGACTAGTGATCCAGCGAGTTTGAGGTGCCGGGATCGAGTCCACCTGTGACCGGGTGTAAAACCTTGGAGTCAACTTTGAGTACAGATTCTTTCAGTGCTGTCACAACCCCTAGTGTACAGTACACAACCCTGTGCACTTAAAAGAACCCACGATTCCGTTGGTATATGACCAGATGGTGGCCACATCAATACGTGCAAACACCTAGTTGCAGGTACAGCAATGTGCAGTGAACTTGGACAAAGTACTGTGACTATGTGCCCCAGTCCACCCAGCTGTGAATGGGTACCTCGTTAGGATGAGAAAGCCACAATAACTCGGCGCGCCTAGTCGCTGCAAGAGTTGTATACTCCCCAGGGAGTTGAGATTGATAATACAATGTGCCGTTGAGATTGACATCCAATGATCGAGACAAAAAATACCAGCACCTTGAGCATGCACTAGTTGCCTGGATATGTGCGCTATATAAATATCCTATAATAATAATATATGGCTTATCAACGTGATGAGGGAGAAAAGTTTGAAGAGATGCAGTTCTTGCACATTTACCATTTTGGTGCTGACATCCCTGAAGAAACGGGTGGTGGGGTAGCCTAGTGGTTAAAGCGTTCGATCGGTACGGCGAAGACCCAGGTTTGACTCCCAAATGGGTACAATGTGTGAAGCCCATTTCTGGTGTCCCCCGCCATGATATTGCTGGAATATCGCTAAAAGCGGCATAAAACCCAACTCACTCACTCACCCTGCAGAAACATAACCCAAGCGAATCTACGATAATAAGCCCCTATCAGAGATGACTTGGCAGCCAAACTCGCTGGTAATATGTCACAACGGAAGATGATGTGTGTATTTCAAGGGGAGGATGCTGTCGATGATGATGTATGCATGTTTGATGATGTACCGGCAGCATGCATGTCTCTCCTGCCGATGTACAGACACAGCAACATCATTGCCATGCTTGTTGTTTCAGATCTTCTCAGTCACTTCCTAAGCCGTAAGAAGCTTAACCTCTTTGCAACCACTATCACAGCTGTTTAAGGAATATCAGATGGAATGTCTCTGTGATAAATCACAGCTCAAAATATAAGAAAAAAGAACAATTACTCAATTTGGTACTTTTGATTATACATATCCAATTTTCTAATGTAAATGTTTGCTGTTTTTGCATAACTCAAGATGGCTCCAGTAAACAGTTGCATATCTTGTGCTTGGTTCATTTGTTGAACTTTTTCTTCTTTTTTTAATGTATGTTAAAAAGGCCCCATTCTCTCCAGTTGGGGGTGAAGAATCTACTTATCACCAAGTCATTGATTGTCTGATATTCCAAACTTTGCATTACTAATCACTTCCTCATACACCTTGAACTTATTGTGCTGACATGTTCCCCTTGTATAAAGATTTAAGCTGTTTACCATGCTTACCTGTGTGACTTTGATACATTAGTAGCATCTGTGTCTAGTTACATGTCATCAGTTATAGCTAGCTCAAACATTTCTCATTTTACTGTTTTAGAAAAATGTCTTGTAGACAGTTTTACTAGTTATTCCAACCTTAGAGACATTTAAGAATTATAATATTGAGTCTACTGTAATTAGAACTTTTGTCCTGAAGGATTTTTGTTAATTATGCATGACCCTCTAAAACAGAGGGAAATATTCACTTCCAGTAGCATGGTTTAGCCGAAATGTGTTCATTGATAGTCCTAGATTGCGATTGTGTCATACATCCAATTTATCAGATTTGATTGGTATTGCATTTTTTAATAGTTGCATTATATACTTTTACCTGTTTTCATGTAACTGTGAAGATTTGGGTTAAAACCTATCTTCAGCAACCCATATTTGTTAGTTTCACTCGCTGACATGGATGATGCAAGTGATTGTATCCAAGTTGCATGGATCAATGCTCCTGGTGACAATGACCAGATACTCTAAGTCTGACTTGGTCAACATCATAATGCTGTAATATTGCTGAGTGTCATGTTACACAACAACAGCAAACAAAACATTACTCACTTCTAAGATTATTTTCAATGCTTACTGTGCATGGTAGAAATGTTATGACATCAACAAATTGAACATGTGATTGTACAATACAATTCTCCAGATTTCAGGATGCCATTTGTTATGTTTGAACCCCACACCAACTAACTGCTTAGCAGCAACAAATGCTTCTTCTGCATGTCTTGTTACTAATATGGCACTCTGATTTGACTGAAGAGTTTAATCCCATATTTCAAAGAAACTTGGGGCACCTATACTATGACAATGTTCGATAAATGAAGCCTTACGAGGAAGTCACATTAAATTTTGTGGAAACTTTCTTGCTCCATCATTTTCATATTGCAGTTTGGGAAATTCCCAGTGCTCATCTAGCCACATTTTCATTATACATCATAAATATATTGTCTGTTCTTTTCAGTTCAACCTAAATATTCACATTTTGTTGAGAACAGCTTCATTTGGATGCTCTTTCAAGAAAGTTAATTTTAGATTGTTTTGTTTGACTGGGTATTTCATCCGTGCTTTGTAACACATTATTGATAGTAAGGTTATGGTCATGTGTACCTACTAGTACCTGGGACTCCCATTGTTCAAGTGCATAGGGCTGGGGCTTCTTTGCTCATAATAAGAGGACAGGGTGGTACATCAATGATTACTGTATGAATAATTACAAGAAACAATGTGTCGTTGCCAAGCTAGGAAAAGCTTGTTGTCCTAGAAGCAGACAACAGTAATGTTGTCTCCGAAGCACAGATAAAGGTTGAGTTGAAATATGATATTCCCCAGACCTTGACAGAACCTGTGACTGCAACTAGAGACTAAGATAAATCGTTGAACAAGTATTGGAAATCTGTAGAAACCAGTAGAAGACAAGAATGACGATGAATGTTTAAAGTAGAAGGTGTAAAATGAGGTGCCAGCTGACCTGGGTGAACGTGAAGACTTACAGTGTTGCTAAACAACCAGATTGTGGTATGTGAGCCCCTGCAAAGCTGTCGGTGTCACGACGCAGGTGAAGTAAAGCATTGCTTGTGGCGGAGAGGAGGTGGATGGGTGACCGTGTTCAGCAAGCTTCATGACTCCAGGCTTCAGTTTTGCTCCACACTGTTTCTTTTAAAGGTTAAAATATGTCCTTGACAAGTGACAAGGGTATAAAAAAGGCATCATGAGTACTTGTTAGGATTTCAGTGTGGCATATATAAATATATATACTTTTATAGACATAGACAATTTTCTACTTAGTTTAAGGGAAGTAATCAGCAGGTGCTTAAAAAGTTTGTTTGGAGCTTATTCGGATCAGTTCATTTTCAAATGAATGTTTTTAAGCTGTATGAGTTAGCAGTTCTGAAAATAGTCATTGATTTATGCAGTGTAAGCAGGTGAGCTTCAGGACCAATGGTTCAGAGTTTATTGACCAATCAAGAGTTATTTGCCCTTATATTCCCCATGCAACTCCTTCATCAATCATTTACATGATTATCATTTCACAGGTTATTATTTTGTTCAGACCCCCGAATGTATATGTATCTATTGTTTATCTGAGATTAATATCTCTTATTGTCCAGGCTTAAGCATTTTATGCAAAATATTGCATCCCATTTGTTAAAGAATTCAGAATCTGTGCAAGCATATGTAGCAGGGTGAGTCATCCTACAGATGACATCCTTACCATGTCATCTTGCTGAGGGGGTTAAGCTCTTTGGTCATGTGGACAAGGCATCAGTCTACGGATCAGAAGATCTGTGGTTTGAATCCCAGCATCAGAAATTTTATGGCCGCTACATGTATGTGGATGACAAGTCCTATTGAAACAACAAAAGTTGTCTGATTACAGACTGGCCATGTCCTATATCTTCAAAGCTCTGGTTCAACAATTCAATCTTTATTTTAAATCCGATACCGTTAGTAATTGTGTTTTGCTTGTGATTCAAATGTTTTTATCATGGGTGAAACAGATGTAATATAATCTTTCTTTTTTTGACGTTTTGTATATATTGTTGTCCATATTCATCTACAAATTTGAGATACATTGCAAGTGATATCAGTTCTATCAGTGTATAAAATAGTTTTGAAATGTGGCCTGTCCAAGGACTGACTGTCCAAAAAAGTGACCAGTCCTGAACAAATACAGCCAGTCCCAAAAACTAAAACTCTTCATTAAAACCAAGTTAAGTTTATTTTTTTCAAATATCTTCCCCGACCAAAGGACAGCCTTACTTATTATATAGACCATCCTTCACAAAAATAGACCGTCAAGGACGGTGGGATGGGCTATATTTTATACACTGGTTCTATACTAGCCATCTGTGTTAAACATCAATATGTTTATGAAGAAGACTTTGCCTACCAATCCATGTCTGTTTCTATATTTTCCCTAACACTCAAGTATATGTTTTCTTCTAACAATACATCAACAGAGCTAGAACAATGTTATAAATCCAATAAACTTCATGAAAGTCACCCAATGTGTGTCACCTGTCAACAGTCTTTAGATGTCCAAAAGGTCAATGTGGTCACCAAGGACTCCCGTTTTTTCTGAGACCCCAAAACTTGTTTCCGAAATTCTCTAAGACCCAAAACTCATCACCTGCTGTAAATCCCCCAGCCTTTCTGCACCCTTATCTGTTGCATGTTCCTGAGTATAGCGCAGTTTCTATGTTTTCAGAGACACAAGGAATGTGAGGAGAATGCACACCGCAGTGCGACTCAATGAACACATCGTAGAGAAATCCCATGATGCTCAACTTGTGATTCTTAACTTACCTGCACCACCAAAGTCAAGTGCTGGGGAAGAAAGCTGTATCCTTTACCTTGTGGGAATCACTTATTCATTGCTTCTTTGAGTGGTATCTTAGAAGTTGGGACGTACAATATTGAACAAACTATATTGATAACAAATTTTTATATTGTGAATGCGACGTTTGGATACAGATTCTTGTACCATGGTCAAGTCTGCTCAAGACCGGTACAAGAATATATTTTGAAACATTGCACTCATGAAATAAAGAAGTTGTTATTGAACGTTTGTTCAATATTGCGCATTTTCATTGGCTTCAGACTTTTGCAAGAGGTAGTTCATTGATTATCAGCTTGTTTTTATGGCGTAGGTTTTCGGGGAGAACATTATTATTTTTACTCTAACATGTTGTTTTTGAAAGTTTCATGTTCACTACTGACAGTATATTGAGCCACTGATGCCATTCAACGTTTTGTACGGAATACAAGGAATTGAGAACTTATTGCCTAGGTTATGTGAAATGTTTCCATGGCATGTACATGTTACAAATCATCTATAGAAAGTACAGAATACATATTCTTGGAATTAAGTATTCCTTGACCAGTGTCAGACATGGAGTTCCTGGAAGTGTTGACAGAGGGTCTGGACCGAGTACTGATGGTGAGAGGAAGTGGCCGTGAGGTTATCACCATCTACTCTTGATGACCTTTCATGTAGGTCAAGGTCAGCGCAGAAGTCACATATCAGGGAGGCAAACAGTTGTTTGATGAGGACTTGTAATCCAACCAAGGATGTGATGTCACTGATGGATAGATAAGCAGGAGGACAGTTTATTTTGATAACATCGGTATACGCTTTGAAGCTGTTGTGGTGGATGGATGGAAAATTATTTTAGTAAACTATTTAGGGTAGGGGAAGATATTTTATGGCAATTCCAATAACTTATGTAATCCATTAATGTAAATATAAATATCAGTGTATGATCTATATCATGAATCAGTTTTCCCTTACAAACAATATTCTGAACACAGTATTTAAAATCTTAATCATTTCTTTTCTCTTTGTCAATAATAATTGGATAAGAACAGTTTTAACAAATGCCATTCCATGGCCTTTTCAGAGAGCACCGAAACATTTACATATTTATGTCATGACATTACTTCTGTTCCCATAGTGACCATGGGTTGAATTACGTCTTGGTTAACTAACATCATTGCCTGTTTGACTTAATTTTCTATCCATGATACATAAAACTGTTTAGATATACCTCAGTTACTGTGTTGCTAAGCAACCAGTCAAGGTCACATTTTATTAGACTTTCTGTCATCTGCATATTATGTTGCAATGTACATAGCTCGCTGGAACTTGTGATTTAAATTATGGAGACATTCTATGTATATCCAGTATTTAATGTCAGATGGTGTACATATCAAATGGCGTTTTATCCATCAGAGCAGAGAAGGTTGTCTTTGGGCAATGGTTACCCCCGTAAGCTAACTGTAGGCACTTAGAATGCTTATGACGGAGTGGTCATCAATCATAGATTCTGCGGTCTGAATTTCAAACATGTGATCTAGCACCCTTATTGTACTGAGTTTACCATAGGAATATAAAAATCAAAACATGACGTGCCAATTATTGCCTCTTATTCATGTTCAAATGGTGTTATATATTACAAGTAATAATTTTATTTTAACAATGCCATAAAGTCCCTGATTAATTCTCCCTTGAATTTTGTCGAAAGTTTTAAAAAAATGAAAATTGTGATACATATTATTGTGTCACATTGCAGGCATTGTGTTGTTCATGGATTACACGAATCTGCAAACATGACCATATTAATGAAATGGCTCAATGATTTCTGTCTAGACCAATATTGTTTTTTTTATTTCTGAATGTCCTTGTTATTTATTTTGTGCTGAAAATACATGTTTTATCATCCTCTGTCTTATCATACATTATAAAACATCTCCCATTAATCAAATATGGACTTTTTATGCCTGGATGTTGTGGCTCGGAACTTCAATACACATCTGTCTCAGTGGAACACCAAATACTGTCTGCTTTTGGCTTACTGCTTAGATATCACACTTGACTGCTTGGCATATTCACAGCCTTTCTCCATGTAATTGGAGAATGCTGATTCAATGCTATTTTAGTTGTAGATAAAGTTGACATGAAGGATATATATATATGTTTCATGTAATCAAATATTCTTTAAAGAATGTACTTGTGTCAAAGTAGACATTTTACAATATTATTTACAATGTTGAGTTCGAAAAACATTATTAGCCTGTGTTGAAATATTGAATATGGGCATACAGAATATAATGATTTTTATTTTTGTATTTCCTGAAAACTGTTATTATCCAGAATGAAGAAAGTACGGGCACTATGGAGTTAACTTTATTTATCCAATGGAATTATGTTCCTTATTGCTGCTCTGCTGACGTTGACATATCACCATGGCAACCACCAACTATATATATGCTACTATTCAAACAACTTGTTCCATAACAGGATGAATTATGTTGGACTGGGTAGTCAGGTACGGAAGATTTAACAATAAGTGTTGTCTTATTTCAGATTTCAGTCAGGTATGGAAGATTTAACAATAAGTGTTGTGCTATTTCAGTCAGGTACGGAAGATTTAACAATAAGTGTTGTGTTATTTTTAGACTATTATTTCCTGATGATAGATGATTTTAATGCTGAAGATAATTTGATGATGTACATCCTTGAAGGCCATAATCAAATCTCGTTCCTGTATATTTCGTGTCGTGTACTGCTGGAAATATATATCTGATAGACATGTGCAACATATTTTGTATTACATTTTTTCATTGGCAGGTTCCATTTTCGTAGGTTTGCATCATATACAGTGAGACACTGTTGAACCTGGCTGTACTGTTTGGTGGTATGGGTTATTAATCTATGATAATGGAGAGATATCACTCTGCATCAATGTTATATTGTGGCATTTCACTACATAAATATTACACCTGTAGTTGTGATCAAGTTAAAGCCTGATATATTTGCTATTATCAAGTTTGACAAAGAAGCAGAAAATGTGGCACAGTGACTGCTAATAGCAAAGATTTTGCTGGAAAGTAATTGGGTTATTTTCAGTTATTCAGATAGATCAACATTTCAGACATACTGTGTTTAAGAATGACTCTGCTTCCCCTTTATTTGACCGAGAAACAAATTTTTGATATCACCTGAAGATAGTTCTCATTGCATATCTTTTATGTTCATAATCAATGTTTTATCTTTGTTATTATCTGAAGAACAGTTTTAATTTGGACCATTATATTATTTTGATAGTTTATTTCTAGTCACAGGGTCTCAAAGGATTTATCTTGTTAAATTATTTTGTTATATTGTGTTTTATTACTTAAATTACACTCTGTCATCAATCTCTCCCTGGCTTGTCATTCAGTTCAAATGTACCTTAATATGAATGTGTTGGATACAAGATAGTAAGATTCTGACTTGTAGGAATAACTAAAGTAATCTTGCATGTCCTCATATCAGGACATTATTGTACTGTCGATATGTTTTATCATTTCTATCAAATTCTGTGAAATATATGAAAACATATCTGTCAACATGGATTTCAACATGTTCCTTCAGTGAATATTTGTATACAGGTGTTAGTACTTTTATCAATCACATGATAGAGTTTGCTTTATAAAGGTACTGAACATCCCTTTGAAAGAATATAGAAGTTGATGTCAACCACAGTTCATAGTAACTATCCCATTGTTATAACATAATCTGAATTGTACTATTGTCAGCTTTTAGCATGATTAAGAAAAGGTTTTCTCGCTTTTATTTTTACTGATACTTTTATCAATGCGGCTTAATATACTGGACAAAATAAGTTAGGGATATTGGTATTTTTGTTATTGATATTTTATCAGTGTGTCAATGAATAAATAGATCATTATTCATAATTTCAAAAGTTACATATATCCCTAAATATTTTTGTCCAGTATATTAAGGTCAAATACACAATGTGAAACTAAAAATATATAGAATGTACTTTCTTTCAGTACTTTTTTTCTTGTGAAGCAAGTGGTTCATAAGCAGCTTGATTTCCATGGAAACTTCATGTTTTTTTTGCATCTTTTGTCTTTATGCATCAAAACTTTGCAACTAATACTTGGAATTAACTGTTTTGAAAGTGTGTGATTTTATTGGGTTGTCTCCCCTTACATCAAATCGGCCATATTGCCAGGATCTATAGTTCATGATTATTGCTTTTACTAGTATGCTGCAAGTGCTGCCCCGTAGTGGGCATCCAGAAAAGCATTATTATGGTGATGTTGTCATGTGTCGAGAACACTGTATAGGAACTCATCAGTAGAGACGAAGAAGTGGCTGTCTAATACTTTTGATGATTGTACCTCACAATGTAGTAATAATATAGGAATATGATTTCGAAATCAATATTGACATGACAAGGAAAAAATAGTCTTAACTACAATAAGAGGCCATAGCAAATCAATTATTTGTTCTTCAGATTCTTTGATAAAACTTAGGTCAAATCCCTTATGAAAAAGGGCAAAATGAAAATTTCTTATGGCTTTTGTGTGTCATGCTGTGTTGCCACACATTGTAACAAAATGATACACACGAAAGATTTCAGGAAGCACCTGTTGTTTTTCTTGCCAAAACTTTAGAAAGGAGGTATTTTTGCCTGATACTTTTAACTGAAATTTGGTAATATGTGCCTTATAAAATATACACACACAAAATTGAAACCAAGATACTGCTAGTGGAAAGGCAGAGATTTGGCGAACAAATAATGAATTTATTATGGTGTAGGTTTGTTTCAGTGAGCTTCAACATGTATTATGCTATTGGTGCTTCATTGTCGATGTGATTTGTTGCCCTAGATAGTTTGGTAGTTGCTGGCTGTCTAACTTGGGTAATAAGTAAGATACAGTTTTGTCGCTACTTTTGTAGGCGTATATATACAACGAACCTGTAGTTTTACTATGTAGCATGCTGATAATATAATAGTATTCACCCATTGACTTTCATGTGCGTGATTTCTTAAACAATGACTCATTCCAAAATCTTTACAATCTATAGTCTGTTTGAATTAATTCTTTTTGGGTGTGTTCACAGTTTAAGTGGCAGTTTGTATTTTCTAAATCACAAGAGGTTGATTATTCGGTGAATAAATTATGAGATTTTTTTTACACTGATGGATGAAAGTGAAGTTATTTTCAAGAAACCCATTGTAAAGAAGCCCTCCAGTTTATTATTATGATTATATATATGTCTATGTAGATTTACATCTCAAGGTAGATTATTCATTAGTTGAAAACTGTCTTGGCTTAAAAGTGAAAACATCTGAAGAGGCATTAGCAAATGATTTGGAAGAACAGTTTTGAGAGAATGTATGGTTGCCATTACAATATAATCTAAATGATATACTTAATATTATACATACATTTCTTTGGAGTTTTTCAGTGTGTGTGTTAAAGAATGTAGTGTGTAGTTGCGTTGTGAAAGACTTCATGCAGTTAGTGTTTACTATTTATCTAATGATATCATTATTATTATTATACAACAGTAATAGCAAATATGTGTGAAACAACTCTGTATGAAAATGTTTCCATGCATTTTTCATGGGCAAATGTATCGCTACATTTAATACAGTGACAATATAGAACAATATATTCCTTTTTAATAAGACAATTTTCTGGTTGTACATCATTAGATCTGTCAATAATTGTGAAAGCCTGATTGCAAGTGTGTTTTTACACTGACCTAGTTAATGATACTTTTATGCAAAACTTCTTTTGTTTATGAAAGGAATATTTGATTTTGACGACCATCACTTTCAGGTTCTCTATATGATGATTCTTATCTGTAATATCTTCTGATGTAAGCCCATGCTTACATATATGTTCAAAGAGGGGTCTATGGTTGTATTGATAGATGTGTAGAATATTTTATGAAACGAAATTTGTTTGGAGAAAGATTTCTGCCCTGTGATGCATATATGCAGGTGTAGTTGTGATGCAAGCGTTGTGTAGCTGAAGTGTTGTAAAGGTGTATTGCATGAAATCAACAACTTTATACGTGTATAGTCACACAAACTACATATGAAATTTATCCTAGGAGTAGAATGTGCTGTATGATAGGCCTTTCACAAATGTTGGCCAGCCATGGGATAAACATTCCAGTCTTGTTTTTCAACCCTGAATCAGAAGCTAAGTGGGTATTATAACTTATATCAGTCCTTTCGAAAGGACCAATAACAGCAAAGCATTTTCTTTGTGTCCAGGTCAGTTGTTTAAATTTCCTGGTGTTTCCATTTTCTTTTGGATAAAAATTTAGTAAGCAAATTAAAAGAAAATTTGGTTTAGCAAATATACCAGATATATACCAGAAATGGGCTTCACACATTGTGACCACTCAGCTACCCCACAGTTCAGGGTTAGAAACAAGAGGGAATATTTATCTTCTTTAGGTTGGTAATGTTAGTTTTCCTGGTTTACAGGTTCCACAAGAAAATTAAAATAAATAATTAATTTTATCTTTTTAATAATTTTAATAATAAACAATTTGTAAACACTAAAATTATTTTTATAAGGTATGCTTTGTGCATGTTTTGGTCATATTTTATAAAACAAATCTGTAAACTATGAAGCAAAAATGGTGAAATTGTTCATGGGCTGTAGTATACACATGTTGGTACATTGTTACATTGTGCTGTTGACTGTACATACATATTCTATTTTACATGGGAGCCCATCGTCCCTGTCATTGTCATTTTGAAGACAGCATTTTATATGTGAGGGGAAGTACTTTTGAAGCTGATATTGTATATAGAGGAAAGTGACAATATTGTAATATAAATGAGGACACTTAAAGGCATGTCTGTTTAAATTATTTGTGATCACATACCAAATAAACGTTTAATTGATATGTATTTGTTTATATACTCTTTGTGTTCCAGTCTCTGAAAATGCTTTTAGTTATCAAAAACAAGGTCATGATAAATGAGAATACTGTAGAATATAAACATAAGTTCTTGATATCAGTTGGGATGTTATTTAGGTTATAAGCTGGTCATTTGACTTCCAGGATAATGATATACAAGCTATAAATCATGACAAGAAATCTGATAGGTATTTATGGTAATCATAATACTATAATAATGTCACGAAAATCTGAGTGATAAAAATCTTATCAATTATTGCCATTTTAGGAAACAGCATTGAAGTATTGAATTATGAGACCCGCCTGTATGTTTTGGGTGTGATTGTTGCAGATGTGTAGAAAATTAACCTCAGGATACTGTTTCTAGATACTGTTTAGAGAAAAAACTTATCATTCATATCTCACTCCTTATTGGAAGGAAATGTTTCTGAAGGATAATTAAACTGTAGTGTTCGGCAGTGTGAGATCATCGATAATCTGATTAAGGAAATATTTGAATAGTAAATTGGTTTCTAGGGTAAAACGTTACAGTATGTCTCATTTACCAAGGCCTTGTCTGTATAGGGATGGAGATTCCTGTGTTTCAGTTCATACAGACCTGCTGGTGTCTTCAGCACTAGAGACTTCCTAGACTAAGGAGCAGTTATTTTTTCAAACATAGATTGCTTCTGAACTAAAGTCACTTCAGAATTAAACTCTTGTCTGTTGTTTGTACATATGCATGAACAAGGAGAGGCATGGAGCTGGCAGTAATATATCAGCATGGATTTGGGGTTTCTCAGGAATGAAAACCTCAAGGCTACAGGTTGGCCATGCATTCACTGTCCTGAAATGAATTCATCAATACAAATTTCCATTTTGCCATTTTTAGCAATATCACGGCAGGGGACACCAAAAATGGGCTTCACACATTGTACCCATGTGGGGAATCGAACCCGGGCCTTCGGTGTGACAAGCGAATGCTTTAACCACTAGGGTGAAACGGTATGCTCCTACCACGGTACGGTACGTATTGTGGTACAAGGCCATCGGTTCGGTATATGAGATATGATCATAATGCAGAAAATTGACAAGAGCCAAACCTAGATAGATTTTGACAAAACGGTTCGATTTCTAGACATTTTTTAAAAGGTTTAAAAAAACAAAATGACGGTATGAAAATTGAAAATATCGATTTCTTTATTGCATTACAGTATACCGAACCCAAGTCAAAATACCGCGGTTCTACTAATACTGTGGTATACCGTTTCACACCTATTAACCACTAGGCTACCCCACTGCCCCTCAATTTGCAGAGATACATCAAGATTGAGACACAGGATGCAGCACAGTGTCGGTCGGTCCCTTCCTGTAGTACCTGCTGCAGTGTACTGTACATCCCATACCCATCATACCACGTTATGTAATGTATACATGTATGAATATAATACATCTAGTATGACTCCAACTAAACAGACTTGGAATCACATTGAAAAGTGATATTCACCTACCAGGGTGTGTAGACCTGACTTTGCACCATCAGGCAGTCACTATTGCAGTTCTGTAAACTATCGGTTCAGTAAACAAAGTTATTTGAAAAGTTATAAAAGTAACCCTAAATAAACATGTAGCAAAGCACCTTGCATGAAATTTGATGTCACCTCTCTCCCACACTTTTTGACACCTGATGTTCACATGCCTGATATTGAAAATTGAAGAATGGTTGATTATTCTCTAGCACCTGATTGGAAAACACGTTAATTTCAACCTAAACTGCGTGTACGTCATGCCATGGCTTACAGAAATTCAGCGTCTTGGCACGTAGGTATGCTGGCGAGGTAACCTCCCAAAACTTAGACCGCCATATCTTAAGACAGCTTAAAACAACAACATTTCTGGTTCAGTGCACAACTAATCCTTAAGCTGATACGTGTTTCTTATAATGGATCAGTCCAGTAGAATCAATTAGACAAGACGTTATGTTTATTCAGCATATTTATTACAAGTTCAACAGAGATAGAAAATAAATATTAAATATAAAATATGGTACTATGTTGATGATGTCCACTGCATTTCAACAAAATTTCCCTAAAATATAATATTCGTACATAACATAACATTTAATTTGCACACAACATGTAATGCTAACTGGTCATTATCATGGCATCCTTGCCACATTAAGGACAGCATTTATCTGATACAAAATTTCCCTAACCAAGATGAAGCAAATGTCCAACTGCATCAAGGAACTGCATGTGTCTTCTCTCGGCTTGCTGAAGTTGCTGCTTGGGTCTTTCCAATCTGTTGTCAATCTCGCGGTAGATTCTTTCTGCTGGGTGGGGCTGCTCCGAAAGTTAACTGCGACAGCTTAGCTCTATCAGCATTCTCTATTCTCCTGATAATTTCGATGAACCGGAAGATGTTAGGATGTTGGTGCGGCAGGGTGCGGTTCATTCTGTTATGAAATCCTTCCAAATTGTTGTTCGTTCTTGGGCCTTGAGTCTCATGGTGGTTCCATCCTAGTCGATCCAGGTGCTCACCATGTAGTCCTTGAAGTCCTCGATTTGCTGTGAGTCAGGAGAAGAGTTCATCACATCCAGCCACGTATCCTGGACATCGGGCTGAGGGATGAGTGCTAGACCAGCTTTTCTTCTTATGAAGTTCTTCACATCAGGATCCTCTTGGTAAGCCACTGCCAGTCCAAGGTCTTCCTCCAAATGGCCTGACTGTAATGGAAGTAGCATCCCTTGATCTCAGCATGAGGGAACTGTTTCGATGGCACAGATGGCAGCAGCCTCGAAGTCAGTCTGGACACGGCTTGGGTCTAGTGGTCTGTTGAATGAATGAATTCATATTCTCAGCAGTCTGTAGGGCTTCCAGTTGATCTAGGGTTGAGAAGGCAACAATCTTGTCATCCTCACCATCAACAAAGAGCAGGAAGGGACGGCCATCCGATGTCTCCGCTTGTACAGTTCATATCATTTACTTCTGAATACAAGCTAGGTCTACTCAGCAGGGAACACTAATTAGGACTGTTCCATTTCAGCCATGGGTGTTGTCTTAATTAATCCCCTTCATTAGTGTCTAAGTTATGGCATCTAAGTTTTGGGAGATAACCGCTGGTGACTGGAATGGCCCAAAGTGAAGTGGCCAGACATTTTGGACATAAAGACACTCTGAAATACGCAACGTTTTTTTACCACCAAAATTTCACCAAAAAGTATTTAAAAGCAATTTTCATCATTGATAGTGCATTGGTTGATGATAAATATACTACTCAAAACAAGTTAGGGAACACTGATATGTTTGCACTTAAAACCAAACAGGAACAGACGACCGAGACATGTGGTAAATTCATTATTTACTGAGTATACAGAATAGGAAATTGATGAACAATCCATCTCATTTCATGACGTGAACAAGTGGTGATGTCAATAATGTCACTGGGGTCACAACCGAAAATCAAGGCTCTTGAGAGACGAGTGTGACCACCTCTAGCAGCCACACATGCAATACAACGACGCCTCCTGGAGTTCACTGATGTCTGTAGTGTGTTCTTTGGGATAGCCTGCCACTCCAGACTCGGCCATTGAGGAAGCTGACGCAGATCTTGAGGCTGAGAGCAGTTCTCTCTAACACGTCCGCTTAACAGATCCCACACGTGTTCAATGGGTGCCATATCAGAGAACATATTTGTCCCAGAAAGTCAGTTACTATGCGTGCACGATGAGGTCTAGCATTGTCATCCTGGTAAACCGCCCGTGGGCCTATTCGATGAAGACCAGGAATCACCATTGGTCTCACAATCACATCCTGTAGCAAACAGCATTCAGATACCCGTTGATGATGTATAGATTGGTTCTGTTATGATGAAATGAGAAGTCGCAACCCCACCCCACCCACCACGACACTGCACCGCCAAAACGATTGTGATCACGGACGTTGACGTCAACAAAGCCTTCACCACGTCGTCTGTAAAAACACGCCCGTCATTATGCTGCAGTGAGAACTGCGATTTGTCAGAGAAAAGAACTGCTGACCACCGTTGTCTTGTCCTCTGTCGGTGATGCTGTGCCCATGCGTCTCTGGCTGCTCTGTGACACGGAAGAGGACGTGGTCTAACGACTTGACGTCGGGCCGGGGGTTTCTTTCCCTAAGACAGTTTCTAATGGTTTGGTCACTGACGTTTGTTCCTGTAGCAGTCCCCAGTTGCCATCGACGATGGTTTGCTGTGACGGTTCTCCTCCCCAATGCTTCAACAGCGAGGGACCGGTCTTCCATTCCTGTTGTCCCACGAGGTCTGCGTTTGTTGGAATCGCTGATGCAGTCTGCAGATGACGGATTGGCTAACATTTAACCTTCGAGCAGCTTCCCGCAGTGAAACGCCCTCATTTAGCCATCCAAAAGCTCTCGCTCGTTCTTCAATCGTCAGGTGTCGACCTTGCGGCATTTTGAACAAGTCGATGCAGTTTCACGGCGACCTGCTTTTGTAAAGCCACATTACGCACACAAATTGCTTGTGGCTCGTGCTTTATGAGGATAAGTGAACAAATGCACGTTCTCCATTTTTACGGCAGCTGCGAGAGAGATAGATCACGACGAAAAACTTCCATGAAAAAGAGTGAATGTCAGATTGCACTTTGAGGAGTCCATTATGATTCAAATGCTTTGTTCTGGTCATCAGGTGACCTGTGTAAGTTTAGTCTCCCATTTCAGTACGTTAGCCGGCGTCCAGAAGACAATTTTCCAAAAGGAATCAAACGAACGGTAATACAAAATACCAGTGTTCCCTAAATTGTTTTGACGAGCATATACAGGTTGTTTCAACTGCCAGTAACTCACTCACTTATTTGCTCGTACTGGTCAGTAACAAGCTGAACTGTGAATGGTTTCAACGATAATCGAACCCTTAAAAACTCCAGTCTTCGCAGACATTACCTTCAATGCTACATTGTCACTCCCGAGACTTAGACCTTCTTACGATCACCATTTGTACATCACCTACACAAACAAATACCCCATGACAGTCGTAAAATATCCTGAAGTATTAATGCTATGAAAAGCGTTTTCACTTCTACTGTGCCTTTTGCTGGTATGTTACTTCAAATGAAAGATCATGGTCATTAGTTGTTTGGTTTGTTGTTTAACGCCGCACTCAGCAATATTACAGCTCTATATGGCAGCGATCCGTATATAATCGAGCCTGGACCACACAATCCCGTGATCAGCATCATGAGCATCGATCTACGCGATTGGGATACGATAACATGTGTCAACCAAGTCAGCGAGTCTATCACCCGATCCCGTTAGTCGCCTCTTACGACAAGCATGGGTTGTTGAAGACCAATTTTAACCCGGATCTTTCTTTAGCACCAGACTGTTCAGCCTTGCTAGTTTTGGGAACACCATAAATAGTGCTTCACACATTGTACCCATGATGTGAGGAAACGAACCCAGGTCTTCGGTGTGATGACCGACCCGAGAACCAGCAGGTTCAGGTCATGTCTTTCAATTCATATATAACCTCCATACCAGGGAATGATCCATAGATCCCATTGGGTTTGAAGGCAGAAGCACCTGTGAAATATGGTATAAATCAGTAATGACACCAGGTGTCTGGAGAAGAGGTGAGCATGTACACCTTATTAGGCTGTTGTCGCAATGTTAATTGTGTATATCAGTCTAACCGTTAACAGAGGCGTAGGAACACGGGGTTCCTACGCCCCTGGGCCCTTATTCTCGAAACGTTCGTAGCCCTAAGAATTCTTAACTTTGATCGTGGCCATTGTGTTAAGAATGGGCTTACGAAGTTCGTAGGGCTACGAACGTTTCGAGAATAGCTAGCCTGGTTAATGACAACCATAACACACCAAGCGGGTGCTTTCAGTTTGAGACATTCCTACACGTGCGTCTAGTGAGTGAGTGGGTGATTTTTTACACCATGTTGAAGAGTATGGCAGTTGTATTTAGCCGTGTAAGTCTGATATGTGAGGAAGGACCAAACTGACACAAGTCTCAGTTTTTACCACTTTGGTGAAAATCCCGAGTATTGTCACGTGAAACCTCGACTAAAACGGCCCACTTTAGAATGCGTAGGTGATACCGATTTCCCCAACATATGTTTTATAGAACCATGACATAGGTCATTTGTACATCACACACCGATATCACGTGCCGTTTCACGGCGTACGTGAGATAAATCCATGATATCTCTAATGACGAACATATTTGAAATAATATAGCAGTATATCCATCAGAAATTATTTAGTGGTCTGTCACTCTACATCATGTTTCTAGTATCATCCCGACATCGGACGTGGTAAAAAAACGGGAATTCCTCCCCGCGTTCAGAACTTTCTGTCATACAGAACGTGTTTGAACCGTTGCTAGGACATGTACACTTTTGGGTCCAGTCCCAGAATCCTTTTCATCCCTGCTATTGGAGCTACCACCACACTAAAAAAAGACATATTTGTATCAAGCCTGGGAGATACAGTTTATGCTGAACCACACATGTATTTCCAGATCTAGCCATAATTCGTGTGTGACGGAACACGTGAGATATTTACTAACGTGTTGAAGTACATATTCATGTTTTACCCCATGGACGTAGTGCAGACAATCCTGTCACATCAGCCCTGGACACCATGCAGCATCCACGGTTCGTGGTGGATAAGGCTGTTGATGTCGGGGATGGGGACGTTAGCGTCATTGCCAGTCGTCAGGAGAACGGACAAATAGTTCCGGATAGTGATACAGTTGAAATTTCATTACATGACGATGTTCCTGTCCACGCCCCAGGTAAGATGGGAATCTACATTGCGGTAATCCACCCATCCATCCATCCATCCATCAGAGCATTTACCATGTCTGTGCGGTGGCAATAAAAGTACGATTTCGGACATCAGTGTTTAAATGTTCACGCGATTAGCGAGAAAACAGCTAATGCTTTCATGCGTCTGAAAACCCATAATGTGACAATAGATGCCTGTTTATTATTGCCATTGCAGCATCATAATTACGTTTCCCATGTTGTATTGAACCGCCCGTTACCTGTTCATGCATATTCTTGTTTACCTTTCTATTCTGACATTTATATTACAATTCAAATTTGAGAGAAACATAAAAGGTGAGCTACGTATCTTCGAGACTCAGTGTTTCGTTCGCGTATTAACTAATGCTCACAAACATTCTGCATAGCAAACAATTCTTGCGTTTGTAAGATATATTCTCCATGATTTCTATTCTAAGTAGGTTAGAACGTGGTCATTTTGTGCACTATATTCACTGTATTATAGTTGAATCCCTGAATACATGGCATGCACTCCATCTGTAGTAAACACAGATACGCCGACCGAAAACTTCACATTGTGTATCTAAAGTGTCAACTCACTAACTTGTTTATCAATCGTTTTTTAATTGTTCATGTGTATTTAAACGGAATTCACGCACAAACAATTATGCAATGGCCATTTAGTTTGTGTATATTACGCAAATACGCATCGTTTCTGGAGTTCCGAATGTCTACTTTAACAGAGACATCGTGATTTAGGGATTACAGATATTTGGAATTATGTAACAAATTTTCCAGAATCCTCGATCCCTTGCAGTCGTCTTTTGGGGTTAAACGTGATATAGTGAGTATCGTTTTCCGCCGCTTTTAGCAATTTTCCAGCAATATCATTGCTGCTTACACCAGAAATAGGCTTCACACAGTGTACCCAAATGGGGAATCGAACACGGGTCTTGGGCGTGAAGGCTTTAACCACGGGGCTACCGCTCAACTGGATTAACAGGGAATCCATAAGGAACACGTCTGTCCCTATAAACTGTTGTGCATATGAAAGGAAGTTTAATATATGCCTAATAACAATTTACTGGGCCCTCTGCTGTCCTAGGTATTCACGTATCAGTGTTTAACTTAATTCGATCATTATGTGCCACGAATATACCTTACCCTTGTATAATCAGACAAAACCTGGACTGGATAATCCCAGCGTCTGGGGGCTGTAGGTGACTTGTTGTTGTAGGTGGCAGGAAGTGTATTGTCACATGTGTTATCCTATCTGGGATTACATGACTACCTAAAGCATTAATGAGTTTAGTCAATAAATTTGAGTCATGTCAATTAACCAATTAAGGTATGTATACCACATGCCAGTGTAATTGGCATTATAACCAGGGGGAAATGACTTTTTGTTCCAAAAACCATTGGCATATGGCATTATATCCAGTTTGGCATTATAACCAGGGTATTATATAGGCAGGAAATCCGTTCTGGCAAAAACATGGCATTATATCGAGGGTGGCATTACAACCTGGGGCAGTGTAACCAGGGTGCACTGTATTGTACATCACTATCAAATAGTGATTATACCAATACAGAGAGAGTGATGTCCGGGGAGTGATGGTAATGAAAAGGTGAGTGTATTCTGCTCGGCCGGTGACACTTGCAAAGGCAAGTTAATTGTCTACCTGAAATAAACACGGGTAAAAATGGTACAAGTGAAAATAAGCGGTTCTATCGGGCACCTTTTTCGTCACTGATGGGGAATTAACCTCTTCTTGTTTATAATAAAACATTTTGAACGCTTTATTGATGTTTTGACTGTTGTAAGCTTGTTTGCGTAACGTTTGAGTATGATGTTCCATGAAATGAACATGCTTGATTTGAAATGTGGACACAAAAGGCTTGAGCTGGTGGAATCTTGTCCCGACAGTCCAACATACACATGAGAAAAATGAATATTGGAAATGTATATATTAGCAATTGCCCTTGGGTCTGATTTGCACATCTAATTTGAATAAAGCCCAATCATTTATTTGCCGTTATGCCCAATGATATGCAGTCTATTTAACATGCTTAAATTATGAGGATGATTTATAATTAAATGCATGTTGTCGTAAGCATGTCTAAATTCAGAACACGATTAAAATATAAACAATTGTTTAAACGTGTTTGAAATATAATTACAAATGTATCATACAATTTTAAACATGTTTATATTGTGGTGATATTGTGTCGTGTTTCGGCCGTGAGAGGATAGTTCCGTTTGTGTGCGTGAACCTTTAACCTGTTTGGACAGAATACATGCACCATAAACACGCACATTCTTAAACATGTTCAAATCTAAACATATTTCCACATGACAGTTTCTAAATTTTATATTTTCTTCGTCATTTCCATCATTACGTAAGCCACAGTGTCCGAAAATAAAGGCAAAGATAAATATATCTCCGAGCTGCAATATAGGGCTCCAATAACAAGTGCAGTTCTTGAAAGGCATTTAGAAGTTGGACGAACATGAATACATGGCACGCCGCTTTATGGAGAACAACTCCTGAAACCCGATGACGTCTCAGAGCTAATGTTTCCTCATTCATTCATCTCATGAGCAAGGCGCAAGAATTAGTTCTCAAACGTGGTATAAAGAATATGAAAATGTCGTTATACATAAACGTGTCATGTATTTATCAAGTCAGGGTTGCGAGATGCCATTTATCATCTAATGGAGGGTGTTATCGGTGCAATAAAGCCATCTGATAAACTTGGTATCCAAATCTGATAACTATGCAAAATTACGTCAATCCACGAACTACTTTCTCAAAACTCCATACATGCCATGAGAATCCTAAAACGTTAACACTTCATTGATGACGTCGTCGCGAGGACGATTACGGCCTAATCCGTCGAATTGTGAATAGTCAGCAGTGCCGATCCGTCGAATAATGCTTGAGTGGTTCTGTGCTAATCGGTCGAATTTCAGACCGTGTTAACACACTGGGAGAGTCTAAGTTCATTAACTAAGGGGTCGGAAGTAGCGTCATCCTCTAGGTCACAGTAGGACTCTGTGCTTTCAGATCCATCAGATGGTTGATAATCTTCATCAGATCCAGTATCACTTTCATCAAAGTGATCACCACCAAGTTCCCATTGCATAAGTTCAAATAAGTTTTGTTAATCCATTTAGAATGTGATCTAGGCACACAAGTCACAGAAGACCAGAAAAAAGGTTAAATGAATCTGATTGCCTTGAGCAATTCTAAATGCTGGTCAATGATTTGTCAGTGGTCTGCATGGACTCATGCAGGGTATGTGCAATAACACATCAACTATGGTCAATTGAAGATTACCTGACGTCATATTAAGATAGTTTACCACTGTGCGATTCTATCACAATATTTATAGCCGTTAAAACGTTCGCTCGGCACGCCGATGACCCGGGCTCGATTCTCCACATTGGTACAATGTGTGAAGCCCATTTCATTTGTCCCCGCTGTGATATTGCTGGAATATTGCTAAAAGCGGCGTAAAACTATACTCACTCACTCTTGAGTTATCATCCAGGGCCTCCTTTCACAAAGCACTAAGGTGATCGTAAGGCACTAAGGTAACCTTAGTGCAATGTTAAAGAATGGGAGTTAAGGTTAACCTTAGTTATGGTTGCTTCGTGAAAGGAGCCCCTGAAATACAAACGACATCAATGTCGGCGCGCAAGTGGCATGTGTGCGACCAGAATGTTGTCACGGTAGTACTGCCCAGTGACACGTCCGTGAATAACGTGTAAAGGTGTTCTGCCATGGCAGTCACAATGATCCCACCGGACACCAGTATTGAGCCACACCCAAAACGATTGTTCTATTTTGCTTTCCCGACATGAAAACGCGCATTCCGTCAACAAACACGTAAACCAAGATTTAAACTTTATTATATTTTCACAGTTAATGGAAAATGGCAAAATACCCAGTTGAGTTTGAGTGAGGTGGGTGCAATCTATTTGGTTATTCAAAGGAAAATTAGGATACCCAACGAAGATTGGTCCAACGTTGTCGCTCTGATCTTGACACCAACGACGTTTTCCGGTAATGTGACGGTCCGTCCATCGTGATAACACGTGGACGTCGGGCATGCAGGTTTCATCTGCGTAGCTCACTCACTCTACACACCTGTAGCTCTATAGTTCTGTAAAGTTCATCTCCAGTTTGACCACGGTTTCGTAACATGGTCGTTCTGATGAAACGGTCTTCAACGCCAGTTGTCGCCCTCGGTTCATCAGATCGACGTTTGTCATCAACGTTAATTGTCTGTCGATATCGTGATCTTATTCTGCTAATTACTGACCATGAAGCGTTAAGAGCTCGTGCCACAATGCTGTCTTGGAACAACTTTCAACATGCAAACTGCACGTAACCGTTCCTGACGTGGCAGGCGCCGCATGTGACTGACTGACTGAGTTTGGTTACTCAGTTACGCCGCTTTTAGCAATATTCCAGCAATATCACGGCGGGGGACACCAGAAATGGGCTTAACCCGGGTCTTCGGCGTGACGAGCCAACGCTTAAACCACTAGGCTACCCCACCGCCCCTACGCCGCATGTGAAAAACGTTTAATTGAGTTTAAAACAATATGAGAACAACTTCCTGTTTTATCGCTGAAATCTACAACAACACATTAACACGTTTCACTGTAAACTTCGAATTTTACCCCGACCATGTCCACGTGTACATCATGAAAAACGCTTGCACGAAATTGGCGTGTTTGAAAGAAATTCATAAGATGCTGTGAATGGAATAATCATTTTTCTAAATTCATATATAATCATACAACTTACTTCGAAATATTATCACCCGAAATTGTAACATCCACTACTATAATAGTAGGTTTGCATAATTAGAATCTGCAAACCAAACGTCGCATAGTTCCATTTCAGTTTATAACACAATTATTATTATCGATATCCCAGGGTAGGGATCCTTAGGTTGTTTTTTTAATGGGGGTGTATGTTGTTCACATTTCACT